TGGTGATGGTGGTGATGGTGGTGGTGATGGTGATGATGGTGAAAATGACAGTGATAATGATGGTGACAGTGGCAACAATAATAATGGTAATCGGCATCTCTGCGCCCACAGGACACTTGTCCATTCAATCCTCCTGACCCCTGTGAGTTCAGTCTTGTGCTTGGTGACTTACACGTCCAGGTCACATCCAGCTCTGGTGACGCCTATTACCTTGCCCAGCACCTCTGGTGTCACATTTTAGAAAAAGAAAGTTTATTTTTGAAAATAGTTTTTTCTTAATTTTTTTAACCACACTGTGCGGCATGCGGGATCTTAGTTCCCCGACCAGGAATCGAACCCGCGCCCACTGCGGTGGAAGTGCGGAGTCTTAACCACTGGACGGCCGGGGAAGTCCCTGAAAATAGTTTTTTGACCTGAAATATTATTTTACAAGTTGACTAATATAAGTACAACCAATACCGTTGGTCGATAAGTATTCAAAAGTTATATAATTATGCTTCATTTTACTCCCGAGTGTCTCGATTTGGATGATAAACTGCATAGCCCCCGCTTTCTATCAGCGGGCACTGAGGCTCAGGGCAGTTACTCCAGGCACCCCAGGTATCACACAGATGCATCGTCTACCCTGATCTTAGATGAATTCTCCCACCAGGTGAGGGCTGCTAAAGAGAGAGCGAGAATCAGTCATTTAAATTGCACCAGCAGTTTGGCCCACTTCTCAAAAGGAGAATTTCTGACTGCACGAGATGGTCGCCTAACTTCAGAGCCTGGCCCCGATGTAACCTGCGGCTCCGCTGTGTAATCCGTGTTTGTAGACTCGGGAGTTACACCAGGCTGCCCGACACCAGGCTTGCACCCCTGGTCACTGATCAGTCTGCCTTTGGCCCCCGCCCCTTTCTCCCTTTTCCTTGGTCTACACCAGCCCTCAAGGCATGACACCCCTGAAGACCCCAACCCCTGCGTAGCTGAATGTCTCTGCCTCTCCTTCCGCCATCTCCCTGGCCAGAGCTCCCCAGTGGGGCCTCAAGTTCTTGGTGAGGGGAACCTTTTCTCCTCCTGTCCGTGCCAGGGTTCCTTCCTGTCCCTCCTATCTGCCTGTCTCTGCATTTAAACTCCCAAACTTCTGCCAACATGTGAGGAAAGTGTGAATCACTCCCTGGCTCCGTGAACAAGACATGCAAATAAACTCAGGCTATACCAGCCCGCAGTGTATTCACCAGCCTGAATCCTACTTCCTGGTTGAAAATGGAGAATCAAGCCATTTGGTTATTACTGTCTTACACTGGGGATGGACCTGGGGGGGTGAGTCTGGCCTCCTTGCCAGCCTTGGGTCTTTCTAGCCCGAGTTGACCAGAGGCCTGACCAGTGTCTGATGGGAGGCTCCAGATCCCTCTGCTCTGTGCATTCTGGGTCTTGGGTCTGTAGCCAGGAAAAGGGAGCCTAGGGAGCAGAAACCCAATCCCCTCATTAAATATCCATCCGGGCAGGATGCAGGCTTGGTGGGAAAGTTAGAGGAAGCAAGTCTTCGGCTCAGCATTAAAAGCAGAACAGGCGCTGCCCAGTAAGAGAACTGTGCGGTGGTGAGCTCCCTGTCACTTGTAGGGTTCACACAACCTATCAAGGATGGGGAGAGAGGCATTCTCTGCTGGGTAGTGGGGGCAGGGGTGCTGGTCTGGCTGAATCCAAGGCTTCTGTGACCACCTGATGGCTCTGTGCACATCAAGGAGGCAGTTTAGAAGATCCTGTCCAAAAGCACAGGCTGATGTTCCCATCTTACAGATGAGGAAACCAAGGCCCAGGGAGAGGAGAATCACTCACATGGGGTGTCACGTAGCTGGTGGACTTGAAATCTGCCAGTCCAGCCGGCATTCGCTGCGTAACTCTGTCCCTGTGACCAGGATAGGGGAAGTGAGGTAGGTTCTGGGTTAGGGCCTGAGGTCACCACGATGGAACCTTCTGGAATACCCCGCCAGCCCCAACTGCACTGCAGACCCCTCCCTGCACGGGGCAGGCAGCAAGTGCCTTGTCGTATCCAGGGTGGAGGTGAATCCAGGGGAGGGAGGAGTGATCCATTTGGCCCCGTAGTGTCTCTAGTAAAGATCGTGGTCATAAGAACAACAGCCTTGAGTTATTCCCTTTAATTGTCACAACAGCCCAGTGGGTGCTGTCATCACCCCATTATACAGATGAGATCACTGAGGCACAGAGAGGTTACCCAAGGTAACCAGTTGGCCTGTTTGGGGACCAGGATTCAAACTTGTCTGGAGTGCTGATTCTCAGGCCCCACCTGGACCTACTGAGTGAGAAACGTTTTGGGCGTGGGCCCAGCCATGTGAGTCTTCATGGCCCTCAGGCTCTCTCGGGTCTGAGAACCCCTGACGGAGACAGACAAGCCTCTGGGTAAGGGAGAGAGCCAGGCGTGAACCGCCCTCTTTGTAGATGAACACACGGACTCTGGGGCGAAACCACTTATCCAGGGGACCTCAGTGCTGGCCCCCTCCATCCTGTGGTCTGATGACGTGAAAGGAGGGACTGACATTGCCGGAGTCAGAAGGCAGGGGCAGGAACCGGTGGTTAGGGACACAGGATGTTGGGGTCAACCCCCTCCTGCCTCCACGCAGTGTGGCCTGGGGCAAGTGACTCAACCTCTCTGTTTTCTCATCTGAAAAGGAGAATGGTGATCACCTCCAACTTAGAGGTTATTGAGGGTGAGGTGAGTCGTGTGTGTGAAGAGCTTTGCCCGGAGCCCAGCACCCACCGAGCGAGCCCTGTGTTGCTCTTGTTGGGATTATTATTTCTGGAAGGGATGGCCTTTGCTCTGGGCCTTAAAGTGGGAGAGGCCGGGGGTCTGGAGGTAGTGAAAGCTGAGGGAAGCGTTTGTGCAGGGCACCAGCAACCCCTGCTGACCCGGCTCTGCGTCTGAGGGGTGAGATGGGGCCGGGCAGCCCCAAGGGCCTCTCCCTCAGCCCTGCCCACCTCTGAGGCCAGCACCTCCCACCCCAGGACCCTGGAGCCAGTGACTTGTCCAAGGGTACCCAGGAGTGTTCAGGGGTGAGGGCTCTTGGGACAGGGCTGTAGGTCCTCCTGCTGCCTGCTGGGCCCTGGGCCCCTTTCCCAGCCCTGCCTGGCCACCCAACCTCCTCCCACCCCACCTGCTGCTCATGTCACCTCGCTTCTAACCCTTCTCTCACTTCCTTCCAGCCTTACACGCCTCTGGGAACGAGGTACCCAGAGGGGAATGCAGTGGCCCAGGTACGAATGTGGCCAGCTGGCCGTCGGGGGTGGGGGTAGGGCCTGACCAGGGCGGGGGGCATCCCAAGGGGGCCTTTGCTCTATGAGGGGCCCCAACTCTGTGAGCACGCCTCTGCCTGTGAGCACCACCATTTGTGCTGCCGCCACCTCTGTGCCCCCCCCTCCGCGCAGTGTCTGTTCCCCATGCGGTTCCCAGGCTCAGTCGTGCAGACTACTGTGCTGGCTTGACTGCTTGGTTGAGTTTTCATTCGTGTGTTCACCTGCGACGCTTACCCAGTTTGATTTCCCCAACAGGAAGTGTGGAGGAGGGGGGTTTTGGATGTGCCCATTTTGTAGAAAATGGGGAAAATTGAAACCCAGGAAGTGACAGGAGCGGTTGTTAAGCCCAAAGAGCCAGGCCTGCCTGGAGCTGAGGTCCCCTCTCCCCTCATCTGTACACACGTTCAGTCATTCGATCGATACGTATTGTGCACCTGCTGTGTACCAGCCCTGTGGGAAATGGCTGGGGGATGCAGTCGGTCTGGACCCTTTCCCCGTGGGCTCCTTCGAGTTCACTGGCCCCATTTTATGTCATCGTGTATGATGACAGCAGTGGTGATACAACAGCAGACAGTTACCAGGTGTCACCCTGTGCTATCACAACCCCTGCGGGGTGGGAACTGTTCTCCCCACCCTACAGATGGGGAAAGCAAGGCTGGGAGGCCACCGGAGTTTACCACGGCCAGGCCACCAGCCGGGGCAGAGCCAGGGTTTGCAGCCCAGATGAGAAAAAGGAGACCCCAAAACAAAGGCCTGCAACCCTGGCCGCCCCCAGCCTGACTCTGTGCGGTGCGGGCCGCCCACCTGGGGGGTTGGAAGTTAACAGGTTGCTGGGCTCCTGGGTCAGCAGGTGGAGAGGGCGGCCAGAGGAGGACAGGGCACTGGGAGGGGCCGGCGGGGGCGCTGCCCAGGAGTGTGGGAGCCTTAGGGCTGCGTGGTGCCAAGCGATGGGGTCGCAGCGCCCTGAGCTCCTGCCTGGAGCCAGGGCGTGCAGTCGGGGCTGTCGGGGGGCCGTGGCGAGGGCCAGGCCTGCCTCCACCCTGAGCCCCCGGCACCGCTCACTCCATCTTCACTGTCCCCGCACAGCCACCGTCAACAACAGCTCTGACACCGAGAGCATCCCGTCACCCCGCACCGAGGCCGCCAAGGACACCGCGCAGAGCGGGCCCAAGCCCCCGCCCACCCCGGGCACCGATGCGCCACCTCCTGAGCCCCCCAGCCCGCCTCCTGAGGATGCCCCAGCCCCCAGCGAGCCCGCCCCGGCCCCCGAAGCCGCCTGCCCACCCATGACCCCGCCGGCGCCCGCCTCGCCTGCCGCGGCCCCTGCTGTGGTCCCCAAGGAGGAGAAGGAGGAAGAGGCCGCAGCCGCCCCCTCGGCTGAAGAGGGAGAGGAGCAGAAGCCCCCTGCGGCCCAAGAGTTGGCAGCCGACGTGGGCAAGACAGAGGAGCCCGGCGAGGTGCCCCCCTCGGAGCCCATCAAGAGCGAGCGCGAGGAGGAGGCCGCCGAGGAGGGGCCCGACAAGGTCAAGGGGGGCGTGGAGGCCACAGCCGAGGCCACACCCGAGGGGGCGCCCAAGGTGGAGAAGAAGGAAGGCGGCGGCCCTGGGGGCAAAGGCCCCGCGGCCAAGGGCTCGGGCGCCCCCCAGGACAGCGACTCCAGCGCCACCTGCAGTGCCGACGAGGTCGACGAGCCCGAGGGCGGCGACAAGAACAGGTGAGTGGGCTGGCCGGCTGGCGGCTTCGTCGTCTCCCTGCGTAAACACTTACTGATCGCCACCTGTATACCGAGACGGCAGCGCACGAGGCCATTTCCACGCCTGCCCTCGGAGGGAGGGGAGGCCACCACTGAGTGGTCCAGACGCAGGAGCTCCGTGGTGGGAGAGGGCAGCGTCGGGGGCTTGGTCCCCCTCAGCGGTGGCCTCTGAGCTGAGCCCGGACGGGGAAGGAGGAGCCACAGGGAGGGCCAGGGGACGGTGTGCTGGGCAGCGTGGATTAGCGTCCAGAGCCGCCACAGAGGACCGCCCCCAAGTCAGAGCGTCGGCAGGGCCATGCCTCGTGAAGGCTCCTTCCTGCCTCAGTGGTGCCGGCGGTCCTTGGCTCGTGGTCCCGTGACATTCTCCCTGTGTGTCTGTGTGCCCTAATTTCCCTTTTGCTCTAAGGACACCAGTCCACTGGATGAGGGTCCACCCTAAGGACCTCATCTTAACTTGGTCACATCTGCAAAGAGCCTGTTTCCAAAGAAGTTCACGTTCACAGGTACTTGGCTGTTTGGACTTGAACATATTTTGGGGGACGCAATTCTCCCCTCAACACAGTGGGAACAGCAAGTGCAAAAGCCCCGGGGTGGGACTGAGCCTGCGTGATCCAGGCCCTGAGTGGTGGAGCGGGGCGGGGGGTGGGGGGGCAGCTTGGAAAGAGGCAGGGTCAGCAGACCAGCCCACCTCGTGCAACCCTTCTGGCTGGGCGGGCGGCTGCATTTTGCCCTCAGGGAGAGAGCCTGAGAGAGTTGGGGTATGTCTGCCGCAGTGTGTTGGGAGGGGGCGGGGGGTTAATGGGGGCCACAGGGGCACAGGGATACATACGGGTTGGAAGGCGGCAGCAGCCGTGTCCCAGGGGCCGGTGAGGCTGGTGGCGGTGGACACGGGGGAAAGTGGCAGATCCCGGGATCCTTGCTGGTTCCTCTTCTGCCCGCGGAGGGTCCCCGAGACCCCCGACCAGAAGCAAAGCTCGTAGACCCCACTTAGGGCCGAACGTGGGCAGCGGAGGGCAGAGCTGCGGAGATCCGCTCTGGCTCACGTCTGGGCGGCTTGAAGAATTCAGCGAGGCAGGCCGGCCAGTTTTATTTTGACTGAAAACAGTGCAGTCTGTTTTCTCTCCTCTCACGTCTCTCGGAAAAGTTCTGGGCAGCACGAGAGGGAGGAAAATCTGACTTTCAAACCTGACCTGTTCCCCAGGAGCCGTTTCCTCTGCCCCACAATTCACCTCGGGGCGTGCGAAAACGGCAACTTCTAGAACGTTTCGTATGAAACTAGGACTTACTTGGTCAGAGCTCTCTGGGTCCCCACGTGGTCCACAAAAGCCGGTGAGCCACGTCATCCTCTGCCTCCTGCGTCCGGGGGTCCCTGGCGGGACCCTCACCCCGCTTGCGTGGCCCTTTGATAAGCAAAGGCCTGGACAACAGGTTTCTGAGGGCGCAGAGGCCCTGAGCTTCCTGCCCAGAGGGCGCAGCTTGGGAAACAGTGCTCGTGGCGGCTCTGTCTGCCCGGGAGGGCCCTGGACCAGGGTCTGGCCACTCGGCTCACTCTTTGTGCCTGGGTAATGGGGTCAGGGCGGGCGGCTCCCCACCCCGCTCCTGCTGGCCGCGGGGACAGAGTCATGGAGACACATGTTTCTGCTCTTAGTGGGAAGAGTGCTGAGCTCATGGGACAGCCACGCTGATCAGCGGCCTCCCGGAGTCTGTGTTTTGGGTGCACATGGCCTGACGGGCTGGACGGCTCGGCGGCTTGGCCTGGGTCCCGACAGCCCGCCCGCACCTCTCGGGCCAGGCCTGAAGCCCCGCAGCCTACTTTCAGCTGCCCCCCACCCCAGCCCCACCCAGGGACGTGTCCTTCCCTCCCCGAGCTGGGTCTGGCTTCCATCCGCTCTTCCTGCCTGAGCGGCCAGCATTCGATCCCTCGGGAGCAGGGGCCCTGGGCTGGGAGTCAGGACACCTGGTTTGTCATGCCCTCTGTGACCGAGGCCATTCCCCCGGCCCCAGGGTGAGGCTGGACTCAGGCCAGCCTCTTGACCTCTTCCCTCCCGGGCCACAGCCACACAGGGCCGGGCAGGCGCCAGAGGACGCAGGCGAGATGCGTCAGAGCGCGCCCTGGCAGCCAGCGCCTCCCGGGAGGGCCGGCGGGATGGGTGGGCCCCCAGGCGACCCCCGGTCCTGGCCTCCTGCCCACAGCCCTCTCTCCCGCCTGGCAGTCCTGGCGCAGTGAACTGGGCGTCCCTGGACAGACACAAGATGCATCTCGTCCTGGCCCGTGCCCGGACGACTTGGGGAAGGAAGATCATATCCTGCTTTTACTCTCCCTCACTGTCTGCCAGGCAGCTCCACCTGGGAGTCTTCTCGGCCCACAGCCAGAGATACTGGCTTTGATTGCAGAGCCTTGAGCTTGGCTGGCCTCGCCTGTTCCACTTCCCAGAGAAGGTGCCTGGGCACTTTCCAGCAGGGCTGGGCCTTCTGAAAGTCCCTTCTCTGGACCTCAGCATTTTCACGTATAAGATGGGTGTGGGTATCCTGGCTTATGGGCTTCTTGTCAGGATAATGGAGTTACGAGCCAGCCTGGCACTTTGGAGCTGCCCTCCTTTGGAGCTGCTTCAGGCTCCCCGCAAAGGTCACTCCAGGAGGAGGCTGGAATGCGGCTTCTTCTGCTGAGCCCCTGGAACTTGGAAAGAATGTAACAGCAATTTCTCCTCTATTTCTTTATTCCATAAATGATTAACTGGGCACCAGTGTGTGCCATTCTGGGCTCAAGGGGTGCTGGGAACAGGACAGATGAGGTCCTGGCTCCAGGGAGCTTACATTTTAGTGACAGCGACTAGTACGGAACTGGAACAGTAATGGAATAAAGGGAATGCTCGTGTGATAAGTGGATGATGGAGAGATTGGGGGTGGGGGCAGCGGGAGGGGCAGTCAGGGAGGCCTGTCTGAGGAGGTGACATTGAAGGATGATCAGAACACGTAGTGTGAGACATGGAGGGAAAGCCAGCAGTGGGAACAGCCAGTTCAAAGGTCCTGTGGCCACATGAGCTTATGTTCAGTAGACAGCAAAGAGGCCTGTGGCTGAGTGTGGAGCAAGTGAAGGGAAGAGGGGAAGGCAGGAGAGGAGGCCACAGAGGTGGGCAGGGACCTGGCCCGACCTGGCTCCACAGGGCCCCCGGGGTCGAGGTAAGGAGTGCACTTTTATCCTGGGAGCACAGGGGAGTAACATGACTTCGTCTGTGTGGACACCTATCCCAGCCCAGCGATAATGAGAAGCTGGGGAAAGGGGGCTCAGCAGAGAGGGGGCTACTGCTGCAGGACCCAGAGTCCCCTGTGGCCCCTCCCCCTCCCCCAGCCCTGGTCTTCCAGGGTGGGAAGAAAAACCACAGGAATGGGAAGGTGCCCAAGCCGCTCAGCGCCAGGCGCCGTTCTCGGGGCTTCCCGTGTTCCACCCACAGGACAGTCCTCGGAGGGGGCCACTCTTCTCATACCCATTTTACGGATGAGGGGGACTGGGTGAGGCACAGCTGGTCAAGTCATACGGCCAAAGGTGGGATTTGAACTGGGAGCCAGAGCCCTGAATACAGGGTGGTGGGCGGGACCCTGGCTGCTCTCAGCCAAGTTGCTGGCTTCCCCCGCCTGTCCCGGGTCATGTGCACAGTGCCAGGCTCCGAGAGCCCCTACCCTGCCCAGGCCTCCAGGGAGGAAAATAAAAGCCCTGTCTTCCAAGAAAACAAAGGAAAGAGAACAGAGGGAGGGCGCTGCCACGAGGAGGGCCCCTGGAGGTGGTGCTCGCCCACCGTGGATGTGGGATGAGGGGGGTTGGGGGCCACATGAGCACCAGGCATCTCCCCGCTCCCCGGTGGGGGGAGCTCAGGACCCTTGGGCTTGTTGAGGACCTGAATCCAGACCGTTGTCCTTGGATGCCGCCCTCTTTTCTTTTTTTTTTTTTTGCGATACGGGGGCCTCTCCCTGTTGGGGCCTCTCCCGTTGCGGAGCACAGGCTCCAGACGCGCAGGCTCAGCGGCCATGGCTCACGGGCCCAGCCGCTCCGCGGCACGTGGGATCTTCCCAGACTGGGGCACGAACCCGTGTCCCCTGCATCGGCAGGCGGACTCTCAACCACTGAGCCACCAGGGAAGCCCCGGATGCCGCCCTCTTTACCGTGAGCTGTCAGGCTGTCATCTCATCAACTGTGAAGTGCTGTGCCCATGGCCGCAGTCCCCACTGAGCTCCTGCCTTGCTGGGTGAGGGTTAGGGGGGACTCAGGAAATCCTGAGGGGTCTGGACCTCTGTGCTCGTACCCACCCCCCCCAGCTGGTGCCTGCTGAGAGCATTCGAGGGGCGACCCCTGCCCCCTCCAATCTGACTGCCCCCTGTCTGGACGAGAAGCCACCGGGAAACCGAGGCAGGACACAGGTCTGAGTAGGAGGTCCTAGCTCGCTGACAATCAGAGTGAGACACAGACACTTTGCTTATTTTATATGTATTATAAAAGCATATTTTGTGTCCCTATAAAATTATACTTCCAAAAATATAAAAGTTTATATTTTAACTTTAAAATCTGCATTTTAGAGTAATTTATACGGCAAATAATAATATAACGTTATTACTTTATTGTTTGTAGAAACAGTACAGTTACTATAACAAACCCTTGATTTCATGGCTGGCAAATAGTACGTTCTTTATGTTTTCCTTGTAACAGCTTTATTGAGACATAATTCACAAACCGTACAATTCAGCTATTGAAGTGTGCGGCCCAGGGGTTTTCAGTACATCCACAGAGCTATATAATCATCACCAGTGTTTAATTCCAGAACATTCTCACTGCCCCAAAAGAAACCCCAGGCCGCTAGCAGTCACTCCTCACCCCCGCCTCCAGCCCCCGGTCCGCTGATCTCTCTTCTCTGTCTGTGTCTATGGATTTGCCTCTTCTGGGAGTTTCCTATAAATGGAACCATGCCGTATGTGGCCTTTTGCAACTGGCTTCTTGCACTCAGCGTCATGTTTCTGAGGTTCATCCATGTTGTAGCCTGTGTCAGCACTTCATTCATTTATGGCTGAATAATATTCCGTTGTGAGTGTGTGTGTATATATTTATATATATCTATCACATTTTGTTTATCCATTCATCTGTTTTTGGCCATTTGGGTTGTTTCCACCTTTTGGCTCTTGTGAATAGTGGCTGCTGTGATCTTGTGTGAACGAGTGTTTGTGTGGATATATGTTTTCATTCTCTCGAGTATATGCCCAGCAGTGGAATTGCCGGACCCTATGGTGACTCTGTTTCACCTTTTGAGGAACTGCCAGTGTTTTCCAAAGTGGCTGCAGTATATTCATTTTAAACTTCAGTCTACAAATGCAAGTTGGTTTAAACGGACATTGATAATTTGTTGCGACGGGCGTGTGGGGTGGTGTTTGGTGACAGTTGAAGCTGGAGGTGGGGAATGCAGGACAGGTGATAACATCAGTTCTCAGACCTGGTCAGGGTGCCTTGGCCCGAGGGTGGTGGGCAAAACGGGGCTGGGCCTGAGTCCAGGGGAGCAAGGACGGGCAGCCACAGCAGGAGAGGCTTCAGGTGGTCCTCGGAGCGCGAGCAGGATCTGGAGAGGTCGAGAGAGGTGAGGACGGCAGGGGGGGTGAGCCGGGTCGGGAGGACCGTGGAGACCAGCTGAGCACAGAGAAGTCAGGCCGACCTCTGCGCCCGGTGCCACCTGCATGCCATGGGCAGTGCCAGTGGGCGTCGCCGAGACTGACTCCGCTCAGCTGAGGATGTGGCCGATGCGGCCGGGGGTTAGCGCCCTCAGGACTGGCTTGTCACAGGTTGTGGTCCCGGTCACAGGCCATGTTCTCAGTGCAGAGAGCAGAGGGCACCTCAGCTGCACATCACCCGTCCGTCCTGCTCCATCTGCAGGAAGCAGCCGTGTCCTGCTCTCTGCTGGGCGTCCGGCAGCCAGCACTGGGTGGCGTGAGCTGCACCCTGGTGGTCATGGATGTTACCTGGAAGGCAGTGGCTGTGCTTACAGTCTGCATGTGGCATCAGCCAGGATGGTCACAGTGCACACCAAGGGCTGTACCAACAGGACCCTCTGGCTTTGGGGACCTGGCCTTCGTTGTGCCCTCTGGCTGAATCCAGCCCGCAGCCAATGCCTTTGTGTGTCCCGTTTGATCATCTAGCCGGCTCTGGCGCCCTGCAAGCAGACATTGGATTCTGGGTCTCCAGCCACGCACCCCAAGCACAGCACCAGGCCTGCTGTGTATTCAGCAAGTGCGGGTCACAGGAGGGAACAGAGAGCTGGGCCAGAGCCAGGCAGCCCCGGTGGGTGGGTGAGGGGTTCTGAGGCTGCAGCAGACCCAGCTCCTGGCCTAGAGACCCTCATGCCAGCTGGGGAGGCAGACGGGGATTGTGGCAGGACACTGTGGTCAGTGCTGGCGAGTTCTGGAAATCCCTGAAGACTTCCTGAAGGAGGTGACACCCGTGAGCAGCTCTGGAGCCACACCCCAGGGCAGGCTTTGCTCCGGTGTCCCAGACACTGCACCCCTACACTGGGGTGACCCTGTCGCTGGCATCCCACCGTGTTTCAGCCCCCCCACTCCGCCACCCCCCCGACACACACACCATGCACCCTGTGCAGGTGCGCTGCCCCATTCTGCATGTCAGCATCAGACAGACGTGACCTTGCTTTAGAGGACGAGGCACCTGCAGGCCCTGCTCAGCACCACAGCCCCACTTAGGGCTGCTGGGCGGGCCGTGTACATGCTGACCAGCCCCCCTCCGTGCAGAGCCTGTACCTCCCACTTTAGCGCCTCAGCAAACTGTGTGCAGGCGAGATTCCCAGTATCTCAGGTTGCATTTGGGCTGAGTGGGGGGCTCCCCGATTCTGGTCTCCAATAAGCAAGGTCCTCTCAGCGCCACGCCCCAGGCCCTAACCCCGGCACCTGAGCCTCTCCTATCTGGGTGATGGATATTCTCCCTGAACCTCCCAAGCTCCCCAAGCCTTAAGCTGGTTGATTCTTGGCCTTTCTGGCAGCTTCCAAAGGGCCGAGCGTGGTGTGGGCCCTGAGTGTGGGTTTCTCTGGGGCTTTCCTTGCCTTGGGCTGTCTCAGGAGTGTTTGATCCTGGCTGGGCCTCTGGGCCGGGGTGGGAGGGGTCTTGGCCCCTTGTGAGGCCTGCATGGACCAGAGGAAGGAGGGAGGGAGGAGACCCCACCGTGACCCCAGGCTCCTGGGCCCCGTGATCCTGGACCTTCGCCTCTCTCTGGCAGCCCCTCCGGCCCCGTCATCCAGGCTGGAGCCAGGAGGCCGGGAGCCCGTGGGCCTGACGCTGGTCTTTCCCGCAGGCTCCTGTCGCCACGGCCCAGCCTCCTCACTGCGACCAGCGACGCCAGGACCAACGCCTCGCCCCAGAAGCCGCTGGACCTGAAGCAGCTGAAGCAGCGGGCGGCCGCCATCCCCCCGATTGTGAGTCCTGGGCCCCTGCGACCTCCACCTCCTGTTGGGGGGACGGTAGACCTGGCCAGGCAGGTGGGGCCCCGGCACCTGCAGCCTGGCTCTGCCCACGTCTCCCGTTCCCTGGGGAAAGCCCCATGGAGACAGGCGCGGAGGCTGGGGGACTGGCGAGGTGTCCGCCCTGGCCTCTCTCCCCACCCCGCCCGCCGACGGTTCTCCAGGGGCGCCCAGATCTCGCATAAAGCTCCCCCAGCCCTCTGTCACAGCTCCTCGGAGCGGAGGGCGGCGCCCCACAGTTACCGAGAGGCCCTTCTCTGGGGGAAGGAGGGGAGCTGGAAGATTCTTCCCCAGGCCCAGCAGGAGGACCCTCAGAGGTGCCCCTTACTCGTGATGGCTCAGTCGTGGCCAAAGCCATCCCTCTCCGAGGAGGTGGGCCAGGCCTTCAAATGCATCTGGGGGCTCTGGTCTGGAAGGCTCTGAGCTGAGCAGGGCTTTCCGAGTGAGGGGCACGAGGTGCGCCAAGCCACGCTGCCCACTCCCCGAGGCCGGGTCCACTCCCATTGGTCAGTCCCGATCCCTCTGAGACCCGGAGCGATTTGGGGAAGGGGGAGGGGGCTGGTGGGGAGGGTAACGGGGGCTCCCCCATCCACGGCCGGGCAGCTGGGATGGGCGGGCACACCCCCTACACTCTGCGCAAAGCCCTACCCTCCTGGCCCTCAAGCCGCATGCCCTTGGGCACGTCGCTGCCTCCCCCTGGGCCTCAGTTTCCAGGCTGGTCCCACGCAGGGGGCCTGGAGGGCTTTCCCTGATCTCTGTGACCTGTGGACGGACGGGCTGTGAAGATGCTCACTCCTCCTGGCTTCCCTCAGCAGGTCACCAAAGCCCACGAGCCCCCCCGGGAGGACGCGGCGCCCCCTGTTCCTCCGCCACCACAGCACGTGCAGCCGGAGAGCGACAGCCCCCAGCAGCCCAGCAGCAGCCCTCGAGGCAAGAGCAGGAGCCCTGTGCCCCCTGCTGAGAAGGAGGGTAAGTGTGTGCCAGTGGCCCAGGGAGTACGGGGGAGAGGGGGCAGGTGGGTGGGCGTAAGGGGCCTCTGCATGTGCGGAGCAGCTCCTGCAGACTCCAAGGCCGCAGTGGCCCAACAGGCCAAGTAGATGAGCGAAACATGGTGGGGCGAGGCAGTGGGGGGGTGGGCACTGGGGCAGTTGGAGACTCCTGTTCTTTCTAAAGTGGGTGCATATTGGCCTCAGTCGAGAGTCACCATGTGGTAATACAGGCCTGGGGTTGTTCTTCCAGAGAAGCTAGAAATCCATCTTTTCATGTGAAATCTTCAAATTTCTCAACATTGGCAACTTCTCAAAATTTTCAAAAGCACTGTGCGTGTACGAAAACAACGTCTAGGGCTCAGTTTCTGGTTCCATGTGATTCAGTCCACACATGAGCTTCTAGAACCATGAGGCTCAGCTCCGGCTGGCAGCAACCCTGGGGCCTGGGCAGGAAGCACTGCCCCCCTCCAGCTTTCACCCTGACCTTATTCCAGGCCGAGGTCACTGGGTTCACTGGGGAGCCAGTGAGGTGATTCCCCAAGCAGCTGTGTTGCAGCAACTGTCCGGGGCGGGCTTTGTTGGCACCACGTGAAGCTCAAGGTCTGGAGGCAGGTGGGGCATGGTTTCTCGTTCTCTGGATCTTCTGTCTCTGCCCCGCCCCCCAACCGGACCCAAGAAGTCTCAAGCCTGTGCCCCAAAGGGACACCCATCCCAGACCAGCCTGGCACGTCTCAGGCACTGGGGGCTGACCCCCCAGAGGCTCCCCCGACGCTGGGCTAGCCCAGGCTCCTGCAGGCTGCTCTAGGGGTCTGAGGGCAGCAGGACCCCAGGCCATCCTCCCTGACCAGTGTGGGCAGCCAGGGCCACCTGCGTGCCCACCCCCGACAGCCTCTGGCACAGCGTCCCGCCTTCTCTAGAAAGCCGGGCGGCCCTCGGCCGTGGGCCTCCCTGAGGGCGGTACTGTGTGCCGGAGGACAGGGCAGGGCTGTCCCTGAAGGAGGCCAGCTCCACACTTCACAGTGACAGGGCCTGCCAGACACTCCCCCGCTGATCAGCCCGCCCTGCCGGCCGCCTTCACCTGCTGCAGGAAGTCTCGGATGCCACCCACATGGGCGGGCATGCATCCTGGCTGGCACACAGGCCAGTTTGTGGCCACGGGGGCCAGGACGTTGGTTGGACACCCACGATCGCCAAGCACCATGCCAGGCAGTGGGGGTTCGGCAGTGGGCAGGACGAAGTCCCTGCTGCGAGGAGTTGCTGCTTTTGCAAGAGGACGTTAAACAGGGGGACACGTAAGGAAGCAAGATGACCTTAGGCTGGTTCATGCAGCGAAAGAGACAAAACAGAATGAGTGATGAGGGGCTCAGGGAAGGGTCTCCGTGAAGAGGAGAAGGCAGTTGTGGGAAGATCGGGGGGAAGGGCGTTCAGGCATAGGGAACAGCACGTGCAAAGGCCCTGGGGTGGGAACAAGCTTGGTGTGTTGGCGGAGCTGCCGGGAGGTCGTGGTGGCTGGGGAGGGGGTAGGATAGGAGGTGGGATAGGGAGATGGGGGACCAGATTGTGTAGGGCCTCGTAGGCCATGGTACTGTGGGGATTTTGTCTTGGGTGCAGAAAAAGCCTTTGCTGGAGGAATTTTAAGGGTGTGTGTGTGTGTGTGTGTGTGTGTGTGTGTGTGTGTAGGGGACTGGGGAGAGGTCAGGCAATCTGATTTTTATTTTAGAAAGATCTCCTCTCTCTCCGCCTCTCCAGCCATTGTTGAGGAGAATGGGCGGCAGGGAGTTGTGGGCAGATGCAAGAGGCCACGGTGCTTTTCCCGGCCAGTGATGGTGGCAGCCTGGACTGTGCGGGTGACCATGAAGGGGGGCATTGGGACTTTGTTTCAGAGGCAAACATTGGGACCTGCTGATGAACCCGAGTGTGGGGTTGAAAGCAGAACGTCTGCCTCCTCCTGGGACCCTGCCAGCCACCCACGCTGGGACCAGGACTCCCCATGGTGGGGCTGGGGTTCGCTGGACGAGAGTGTAGCGTGAGACGTGGGGTCTGGCTCTGGAAGGACATTCCAGGGCTGGGGCACCAGCCCAGGGCGGATAGCTGCGTGGCAGTGTCAGGGGCCCAAACAGCCTTGGCCGGCGCCAGATCTGAGCCGGGCTGGGCCATACTTGGGTGGCTGGACACCACACAGGGCCAGGCAGGGCCCGCTGGGATGGGTCACAGGCCCTGTCCTGGGAGAAGGTGAGCCACCACCTGTGCTTTCTGAGCCTGGCATTCGGCCTGTTGGCACGGCGGAGGGCCGCGCCGTTTCCTGGAATCGCTCCGCACAGGAGACGGGGCACCTGGCATCAGGCACCAAGGCCTGCCTTGCAGCTAGCACCCGTAGGCACATGCATGAACTTGACACCTAGCACGACCGACCTCTCTGGTCTCTCAGGAGCCTCCCCTGCCGCCTGGCTCCTGTGCGGAGCTGCTCCGCCCGCCCACCCCTCGGGCTCCCTGGGCCCAGCCGGAGGAACAGGTTGTCTCTCCAAGCTCTCGGCCGCCGGCCCATCCTGGCCCGGCCCCAGATTTCCCTCCCAGCACCGGAGGCCACCCCCCCGCCCCTGCCCCCTCCCACGGCAGCCGGAGCTGAGCTGGAGAGAGCAGCCCAGGCACGCGCGCAGTCGGGTGGCTGGACGAGCGAGGTCCAGGGCGTGCACGTAATTTCCGGGCCCGGTGCAGGCCCTGGGTGGGGTGGGGGTGGGGGCGCCTCCACTGGGGGTTGGTTGAGCATGAGAATCCCCACCTCGGGTTACTCCCCACATCTGCGGCCCCTCCTGCGGGCTCCCCACGTCAGCAGGCGCACAGGTCCGGGGGGAGCTCAGTCTCCCAGGAGAGAAGCGGAGGGTGTGCAGCACGCACGCCTCCACCCCACCTGCTGTGCCCACAGCAGGCGGCTCTCATGCTGCCAGTGCTCTCCTGCTCGCCTTGCTGCGTCTTCAGAGCCTCCCTCTGTCATCTGGAGGTGGCCCGAGGGATGACACCTGCCTGCCATTCCCATCCCAGGCCCGGCATTCCCAAGTTGTAACCAGCTGGCTACTCCCCTGCCCCACCCCCGCCCCCCGTACCCCACCCTCGCCACCATCGGTCCTCTAGCCTGACATCAATTCTCAAGGAAGAGGTTTGGCGCTTAGGACCGATTTCAGCAGAGTGGGTGGCCAGCGGGTGAACACCGTGAAGACGGCCTGGCCTTTGGCCGTGTCTGCGGCTGTGTCCCCAGGCCTGAGAATCCAGGGCCAATCGTTGCTCCCCTTCCTGTGGTCAGTGTGTGTGGCAAAGGTGAAGGTTACAGCCTGCAGCCCATCTACCTGGGCTTAGAGCTCCCCTTGCTGGCTGTGGGCCTTTGACCAGGTGACTTTACCTCTCTGAGCCTCCGTGTTCCCATCTGCAAATTGGGGATAATCCTCGTCCGTTCCCTGAAGGGTGTTGCGAGGATAACCGAGTCAGTCCACGCAGAGCACTTAGTTGGAGCCCCCGTGGGAGGGCTCCCTCCGCCGTCTGCAGCGTCCGGGAGGTTCAGTGGTCAATTCCTGACTTGGCCAAATATTTGCTGGTGACCTTAGATAAGTCCGTCGATGTGTCCGTACTCCAGTCCCTCTCAGCACACTGGGCCCGGCCGCTCTCTTTCTCCCGAGCCTGCAAGGAGGCTCGTTGAGTTCACGCTTTCGAAACGCCCAGCCCAGCCCCTGGACGTGGGACACGCTCGGCGCATGGGCTGACATGTGCGCGCCGTCATCCCGGGCATCCGGGCCGTAGCCGTGCTGGCGGGAGCACACGTACGTGGATCACGGCAAACCGTTCTGACCGCCTTCGTCATCTGAAGAGGTCAGCGAGCCTCTTCTGGAAAGGGCCAGATAGTAAATATTTTAGGTTTTGTGGGCCAGACAGACGGTCTCTGTCGCAACTCCTCAGCTCTGCTGCAGGTGATAAATAAACGGGTGGACGTTCCAGCACAAGTGTACACACAGAATCGGGCAGTGGGCAGGCCCCGTGCCACCATCTGCCGCCCCCTGGTTTGGAGGTTTGTCCAGGCCCCTTGCTGAGCCGGTGCCAGGCAAGTGCCTGTGGGATTCCAGCGCTGGAATCAGGGGCCGCCGAGAAGCCCAGCCCAAGCCTGAGGCACATCCGTGCTTGACAGGACATCACAGGAGTCAGCGTGGTGCCCGGTCTGCAGACTTGGGGGGCTCCATCACTGTTGGCCAGGACCTTCCCCTGGCCGAGGCTGGCGCTGCAAGGCACAGGGGGTCTTGTTTGAGCAGGGCAGCCAGGGCTGGGGGCCTGAGGGCTGGCCGAGTGTGGCTGACTGCCTGCCTTGCCCCTCAGCAGAGAAGCCCGTGTTCTTCCCGGCCTTTGCGGCTGAGGGCCAGAAGCTGCCCACGGATCCCTCGTGTTGGACGTCAGGCCTGCCCTTCCCCGTGCCCCCTCGCGAGGTGATCAAGGCCTCTCCGCACGCCCCTGACCCCTTGGCCTTCTCTTACGCCCCGCCTGGTGAGTAGTTCACCCGAGCCTGGCCTCCTTGCCGAGTCAGCCAGCATGCAGTCATTGGGCGCCAACTGTGTGCACTGACTCGGAACTGCACGCAGAAGGATCTTAGGGTTCTGGCGGGAGGGATGGCCTGGTCAGTGAAGGGGAAGGGGCTCCGCTGAGACGTGAGAAATCTACAGGATTGCAATTGAAACGCCTGGTGCTGGGGATACCTAAGAGGTGCTTGAGCCGGTGAGGGGCAGTCTGAGAGTGGGGGCTCTGTCTTCCACCATGGACTTCGAGGTAGAGAACGGGCAGGTGGAGAGAAAAGTGTGAGGAGGGAGGGGCCTGCTTTGATTTACAAATACAGTCAGGCTGGATTCGAGACCCTTCCTGGGCTCTCCAGCCCTGCCAGGCCCCACCAGCAATGAAAGGGGCATAGCCAGGGGCCAGTAAGGGCTGTGATGTCAGCAAAGGCCGTCCTAAGCAGAGCTGATCCTGCAGGATGAGTGGCCAAAAGAGCCAGGAGAAGAACAGGGAAAGACATGCCAGGCAGGGGGAACAGCATGTGCAAAGGTCCGGAGGCAGGAGAGAGCAGGCGAAGCTTGAGACACTGAGTCAGGCTGTCATGGCAGAAGCTTGGTGCCCAGGGAGCCTGGGGAGACCATAAGCGCCAGGTCAGGTGAACCTGAAAGCTGTGTCAGGCTAAGGCCTTACCCTGGGGGAGCAGTGGGGAGCCATAGGAGGTTCATAGCAGGGGAGGATGTGAACTAGTGGACTTTTCAAAAAGATCCCTTTGGTTCCTGTGAGAGGAGTGGACTGTTGGAGAGCAACAGGGGAACGGGGAGACCAGTTAAGGAGTCTGGGGGAGAGTTGAGGGGCTTGGGCCAGGGCCTGGGAGGGGGGAGGCGTGGAGGGAGACTTCCCTGGGGTAGTGGTGTCTGAACCAAGGATGCGGACGGCTCATCAGGCAGAGACGGGTGGAGCAGTGGGGGTGCGTATGGACGGGCACCCGCCTGGGCAGGACAGGGACGAGGTGGGGAGTGGCCTGGGGGCTCTGCCTCTGACCGCTCCTGGGGCCCTGTGATGGACAGATACGTGCCCTGCAGGTCACCCGCTGCCCCTGGGCCTCCATGACAGCGCCCGGCCCGTCCTACCACGCCCACCCACCATCTCCAACCCGCCGCCCCTCATCTCCTCCACCAAGCACCCCAGCGTCCTTGAGAGGCAAACGGGTGCCCTCTCCCAGGTGAGGTGGGAGGGGCGGCCCCCCAGAAGCACCTGTGCAACCTGGTGCCTGGAGAACGCCCCTTCCTCTTTCTGGGGTTTGGTCCCTCCATCTGTAAAGTCGGGGTGGGGGTGATCCCTGGGACGGATGGTGTCGGGGTGGGGTCGGGCACCCAGGGGGCTGGGTCCAAGCTGGCTGTGCCTGACCCAGGCATCAGGACCTTGGGAGGTCACTCCGTGGGGCATTCAAGAGCATGGGCTCTGCGATCAGACTGTGTGGCCTTCGGCAAGTTACTTAACCTCTCTGTGCCTCAGTTTCCCTTCTGTGAAACAGAAAATCGCAGGCACTAGACACACAGCCCTGGCACGTGGTGAGCCTCGGTCCACCTGCCCCTTCACCTCTCTGACCTGCCCCCATGTGGCGCAGGGCGGGGACAAGGCATATACTTTGCTCAGACGCTTGTGGGCACCATTTCCTTTAAACCAGGTCATGATGACCGCCACACGGGTGAGGGCACTGAGGCCCAGGAGAGGCAGTGACTCGTTCACAGTTGCTCAGAGGGGCAGCAGGGCCGGAACTGAGGCCCCAGGCCTCGGCCTCGGTCTCGGACCCGGGTGTGATCCTGAGGTTCCCCTCCTCTTGGGCCCTCATAAAAGCGGGTTGAGGCCCTGGTTGAGGCCTCTGTGACCCCACGGCCTCTGCTCCCACAGGGAATGTCTGTGCAGCTCCACGTCCCGTACTCAGAGCATGCCAAGGCCCCCGTGGGCCCCATCACCATGGGGCTGCCCCTCACCATGGACCCCAAGAAGCTGGGTAAGGATGTAGGGCCCCCCAACCTCGATGGCCCAGGCTTGGCTCCCACTGTTTGCGTTGGGGGCTTGAGGGAGGGCAGTTCACCCTAAGGGACTCTGGCCCGCGCGTGGCGGGGAGGTCCCTCAGCCCCTGGACAGGGCAGGGAGGCGGCCGTCCTTCTGAGGACGGCTCGGCTCACTGCTCAGAGGCTCGGCTCACTGCTCTCGCCCCTCTCCAGCGCCCTTCAGCGGAGTGAAGCAGGAACAGCTGTCCCCACGGGGCCAGGCTGGGCCACCGGAGAGCCTGGGGGTGCCTGCGGCTCAGGAGACGTCCGTGCTGAGAGGTGAGGGCGTGCGAGCTAGGCTCACCCCCGGCGGCTGCCCCTCCATCCCTGGGAGGGTCGAGGCAGGAATGGGACCCTTTATCCAAAACCTGCTAAGAAGTTTCAGCTCCCAGGGGGTCCAGCAGCCTCTCTTCGCAGTTGTCCACTTCGCCATTTAGGGGCAGGGGGACCCTCTGTGTTGAGACACCGGAGGTGGGGGGGACTTGCAGGTCTCGGTGGCTCTGGGACTGGGGCCTGGGGAGGGGCTGCAGACACCCCTTCAGCCCGTGTCTCATGTCTTCCAGGGACGTCTCTGGGCTCGGTTCCAGGAGGAAGCATCACCAAGGGCATCCCCAGCGCGCGGGTGCCTTCCGAGAGCCCCATCACGTACCGTGGCTCCATCACCCATGTAGGTGTCCTGGGGCCGTGGCGTGAGGGACCAGGGTGGCACTAGCAGGCAGTGTCTCCAGACGTGGCCCTGCCTGTGGACAAAACAGTGGGCAATGCGCCCATTCCCCCCAGCGTCTCTGCTCAGCACCTGCCTCAGTAGACGGGGTGGCTTCGTGGGGGTGCCCACTCACTCCGTGAGCCTGGGAGCCAGGCATTTTAGGTGCTGAGCAAAGCACGAACCTCAAGGGCCGCAAGGAGCTGGGAGGGCAGCAGAAGGAAGCAGACAGGTGGAAACTGAGCAGGTGATTTCAGAGTAGCCAGTGCCTGGTGTTGGGTAAAACGCTACGACTGAGAATGGCTGGGGCTGCCGAGGCCGCAGAGACAGGTGAGCCGGGGAGACCTCTCAGAGGTGTGAGCCCTGCGGGAATCTCAGGGATCGGCATTCCAGGCCCAGGGAACAGCATGTGCAAAGGCGGAGAGGTGGAGGGTCCCTGGTGTGCGCCAGGTCCAGCGAGTGTCCGCGGTGCCTGGAGCAGCGAGCAGGAGGCGTTCGGGTCAGCAAAGTTTTGGGGGCTGGTGAGGGAGTCTGCACATCCCCCGCCTTCAAGGGGGTGAGTGGACAGACGCTCCTGCAGCTCAGCTGAGCCCGCCCACACCACTGGGGCTCCCGCTGTGACTTCAGTCCTGGATGACAGAGGTTTCCTCTGGTGCCAGCCTTGGCCTCGTGGTGTTGACAGGCTGACGGCTGGAGTTGGCATCCTGGCCACGTCCAGCTCCGCAGAAAGTGTGGGATCGACTGGTGACATCTGCCCCATCCAAGGGTTTGCAGAGGGACCACTCTGCCCCTCCGGTGTCAGGACTGGGGGTTCAGAACTGAGCTTGGGGGTCCTAGTGTACACAGGGCCTGTTTAACCCTCTCCTTCCTCCCTGGCTGGTGGACCACAGAGGGCGGTACCCCCACTTCCTGGGGTCCTTAGCTCCTAGGGCTTTCTTTTCCTTCCCTTCCACCCGCTCCAGACAAGATGGTTTACATTAGCACAGAATCCAGGTCAGCCCATTTTACAGATGAGAAGACCGAAGCCCAGAGATTAAACCCAAGGTCGTGTAGCCAGGAAGCAGTGGACCCAGTGTTTTGTGCCAGCTGTGCCAGAGGAAGGGGAGCCTGGACACACACACACACACACACACACACACACACACACACATGCATGTGCAACCCCCCCTCCCCAACACACACACACACACACACACGTGAATGGTGGAACTTCAGGCCACAGGCTCCCATAGGAAGGTGTCTTTGGCTCCAGGGGCCGCAGATCACACCACAGAGGAGAGCCCCTGATGCTTCATGTTTCTCTAAAACCTGTTGGTTTTGAAATCATGAGCTTTAGAAGGCAGCTGCGCAGGTACCTGGGGCCACAGCCGGGCCGCAGACACTCAAGTCCCAGCCCCACCACATGCTGACTCAGGCAGGGGATCGACGCTCCCTGACTCAGTCTTCCCTTTGCTAGAAGTGTCTCTTGCTGAGTCATCCTCACAGAGGCGTTAGGGATTAAAGGCTCCTGGGCATCCATCGGCCTCCAGTTTCAGGTGGCCGTGACCCAAGCCGTGTGGGTCACTCACAGCCTTGCGATTGTTTCTGGCAGCTGCCGTATGTGTGAGGGTCAGGCTTCCCCACAGCCTCACTCCCAGGTGATGAAATCCGGTCATGGGACACACACAGGCTCACACACACACACAAACTCAGGAGCACACAGACTTACAGTGGGTGGGCTTCTATCAGCTGCCCCTGGAGGAGCCTTTCCTGCTGGGATGTTGCCGGCTCCCCGGCCGTGTGCTCTCCTGATGAGAGAGGTGGCTTCCCGCCCCTGGATTATCTATCACCCAAACTAAAGCCCGTTTATTCTACACTGTTTGTGCACAAGCCTTTTGAAGTGTGGCCAAGGGGTCCCATCTAGGGCGTCTGCTTTGAGATGTCTCGGGAGACCCGTCTGGATTCAGGGCGTCTTGCGTTTCCCTTGCTTGCAGACCAGGATCTGGGGTGAAAGCCCGGGGTGCCAGTCGCTGCCCTTACCCCACAGAAGGATGTTTCTTGGCAGAGAAGCTCCCAGGGGGAGACTCAGAGTGCACCAGCCTAGGGCTTGGCACGCAGTTGGAGCTGCATCTCTCAGTCAGCTCTTGGAATCGTAGAAAGAGAAGAGAGACATCTTGATTTGGGGACAGCTTGTCTGTGACGGGTGCCTTTGAGAATCGTTATACAGAGATTGTCTCCGTTTTGTAGATGTACAGGCTGAGGCTCAGAGAGGCAAAGTGACTTGACAAAGGTCACACAGCAACTTGTTGGTAAAGCTGCTGTTTGCCCTCCAGCAGTCTGACTCCAGATTCATATTCTGACCCCCCACTCGTGTTCGTGGAAGTCGCCCAAGGCGGGACACTACCCCACGTGGCTATCTTCTCTCTGCCTGAATACAACCCCCAACAGGGAGCTCACTTCCTCTAAGGCACTGGTTTCTTGATCAGGGGCAGTTTTGCCGCCCAGGGGACACTGGGCAATGTCTAGGGACATTTGTGATTGTCACATCTAGGGGGGAGCAGATTGGGGGTCGCACGCACTACCGGCATCCAGTGGGTAGAGCCCCAGGGGAGGGCTGCTAAATGTCCTACGGTGCCCAGCTTGGCCCCCACCTCAAAGAATCACCTGGCCCTCAGGTCACAGTGCCGAGGTTGAGAAACCCTGGGTTAGAGCTAAGATTTCTGGTGCCCTGCCCTGATTTGAGTCCCCATTCTGGTTTTGGGAATGACATGTGGTCACAGGCACGTGGCTGACATCCCAGCGTCCAGGCTCTGAGAAAGTAAAATTCATGTAGTACAGGTTGCAACACAGACTCCAGGGCCAGACTGCCTGGGTTCCAGTCCCGGCTCTGCCCCTCGTTAGCCAGGTGACCCTGGGCGAGGTCACCTTGCCTCTTGGTGCCTCAGTTTCCTCATCTGAACTAGGCACGATAGTACCTGACTTAGGGTGATTTCCAGGATTAAATGAGTCGATGTATAGAAAGTGATCAGCACTTATTATTAACATTACTGATGCTTTGTTCTGCGTGGTTGTGTTCCGGCGGGCTCTGCCCTTTTGAAGAAGTACATGCGTGAACACGTGTGCACTGGCAGACACACGTGTGCCTGTGTGTGGATTTGGAAGGTGCACATGTACGCGTGCTGGGTCGTGTCTGGCGAGCGTGGGGGTCCCCGGCCCGAGCCCGCGGGCACTCACCCCCTCCGCACCCCCAGGGCACTCCAGCCGACGTCCTGTACAAGGGCACCATCACCAGGATCATCGGTGAGGACAGCCCAAGCCGCCTGGACCGCAGCCGGGAGGACGGCCTGCCCAAGGGCCACGTCATCTACGAGGGCAAGAAGGGCCACGTGCTGTCCTACGAGGGTGAGTCCCGTCGTCCGTCAACGGCTGTTAGGAGCTGGTGGGCGGGCAGGGGCTGGCCCGGCCCTCCCATCCTTGGGCATCTTTTTTTTTTTTTTTTTTTTTTTTTTGCGGTACGCGGGCCTCTCACTGTTGCGGCCTCTCCCGTTGCGGAGCACAGGCTCCAGACACGCAGGCTCAGCAGCCATGGCTCACAGGCCCAGCTGCTCCGCGGCATGTGGGATCTTCCCGGACCGGGGCACAAACCCGCGTCCCCTGCATCGGCAGGCGGACTCTCAACCACTGCGCCACCAGGGAAACCCCCTCGGGCATCTTTGATGCCCGGGAAGGACCCTCTAGGTGAGAGGACCAGTGGTGACCTGGAGGTGGTTGGTCATGTGCTCACTTGGTGTTTACTGGGGGCCGTCCATATGCTTGGGGGCCCAGCGGATGAAGCCCCCTCAGAGAACTCTCAGGACGCCTGCCCAGGCGTCTCTCAGGACGCAAATGGGATGTCACCTTGTTAATCTTGAGTCATGGAAACCTGCCCACATCCAGTGTGGCTTGCCCACCAAACCCCAGACTTTGGTTTTTCTGGAGTTGGTCAGGAGAGAAGGGTCCAGAAAACATGGTTGGGGTTAAAGGGCAGCCAGATGTCTTCAGAAAACGAATCTAGGGGAGTGTGTTGCCCTCCTGTCAGCTTCGTGTGGTTGAGAGCCAGGGTGAAGGAGTGTCTTCCCATTTTACAGATGTGGGAGCTGAGGTGCACTGATGTCCAGTGGTCCTTCTGTGTGTCCACCCTCCTGGCCCCTCAAGAGAAAAGGAGGCCTGGGACTTGGGGAGCAGGGGCGGGCGTGTTTGGCCCATTGAGGTGGGTTCACAGGGAGGCAAGGCTGGGGTGACACCAGGAGAGGGGGTGACCTCCCCATCCCTGCAGGTATGTAAGCCAGCAGCAGGTAAAGATTGGCTTTAGCTGTCTCCACCTCTGCCCGGTTCTTTACAATTTAGGAAGCAGACTTGTGGCCAGCCTTGCTAGACGTGTAGTAGGGGAACAGGCCCAGGCAGCAGAAGCCCAGGCTCACTCCCCCAGGCCTCTGGCCCAGCGCTCCTGGCAAACGCCGTGCTCTCTAATTGACACCACGTGGGTGGCAGGAAGGGGCGATGACCAGAGTGACGCGCCACCCCCTTGAGCCCTGGGCCCCCCACTTCAGTGCCCCTCACTCCTCTCACCCTCTCTGGTTCCCCAACCAGGGAACCCCGCCTGGAAGGAGTTAAGGAAGTAAAGGGCTGGGATGGGAATTTCCTGGCAGCCTCGGGCACCCAGAGGCGCGGAGATAAAAGCTGCTAATGGGCGCCCCTCTCAGCAGCTGGCAGCTGTAGGGCTGCAAACTGCTTCTCCTCTGGCGGCGGTGGGCACGTTTTCCTCTCCCTCCGCCTCCGCCTGACCCGACTGCCCTCCCGCCCCCCAGGTCCTGGGAAGCAGAGGTGGTACCGTGGGGCTTAGGCAGTTGCCTCTCTCTGCTGCCAAGTGGTGGAGACAGTCTTGGGGACAGGGTGTCAGCTGCGTCTTCTGTGCCAACCTCGGTATCCGGCTGAGGGCCCTGGGGGATGGTCAGGGGCCCTGGAAGGGCAGACGGAGAGGCTGGCAGTCGAGGTGTTGTGAGCAGAGCCCTGGGTGGCATCTCAGCTCCGGCCTCCAGATCAGTTCTTGAGCCCCTACAGGCCTTAAGTTTGTCATCTGCAGAATGGGTGTAAATCAAGGCTTTCAATTTCTCACGTGCTTCCTGGGAACAGAGAGGGCCGCAGGCCGGATGGACGGCAGTAGGGGCCGGGGAGGACCCGGAGGGTGATGGCTGTGTCTACAGGGGCCCCGCCTCTGTTCTCCGATAGCTGACTGTCGCCCTGTAACGAGTGTGAGCTCGTTGGCCAGACTTCTAATCTCTCTGTTTTCATCTGAAATCTCTCAGTGTTTAAACATCAGCAATTAATTTTGAGCAAAATTTGGAGCAGCACCGCGGTCTATCCGCTGGCCGCCCGTTTGCAGCCTCTGGAGTAGCTCATGCCCTGAGGATCCCGTGGGGTCACGATCGGAAATCCTGGGAGAGCGAGCGTGCCCTTTATCCCAAGGGGCAGGCACGGGGCTCTCGGGAACTTGCGTCTGATACCCCGGGACTCAGCCATCCTTGGAAGGAGAGGCCCACTCGAGGAGCCCCCAGCCTGATGGGCGAGACTGAGGCTTGGCCTCCTCCGGGCTTGCCTCCTGGCTGCTCAGACCCTTGGCCTGTCGGGGGCCCGCGTGCCAGCCTGAGGAGCTCGCCCTTTGGGCTCAGCCTGGCTTGGCGAGCCCACCTCTGCTGTGGACACTCCTCGTCCCCTCCCCCCCGCCCCCGCAGACACACACTCTCCCCACGTGGACACCAATGCACGTAGTTTATTCCATGTGGCCTCACTTTGTTCTCAGTGGCCAGGTGTGCACACACACACACTCACACATGTGCACACACACAGAGACCCACGGTGACACACACAAATGGTTGTGGTAACCCTGCATGTTCACACTCAGCTGGTGCATCTTTGCTCCCGTGCACGTGGTTACACATGTTCACGTCACATGTCGGCTCCCACGAGTGGCCGTGTTTGTGCAGAGTCACATACCCGCGTGTGGTCAAAGGCACACACCTCCCTGCCAGCGGAACTGCAGGCTGTTGCCTCCTGCCCACTGGGCCCGGCCGGTTTGCTGGTACTGGGCCCAGTGCACACAGTTGCCCTGGGGCTGCCCCTCATCGTGAGATGGGTCTGGTTTCCAGGTGGCATGTCCGTGTCCCAGTGCTCCAAGGAGGACGGCAGGAGCAGCTCAGGACCTCCCCACGAGACGGCCGCCCCCAAGCGCACCTATGACATGATGGAGGGCCGTGTCAGCAGGGCCATCTCCTCAGCCAGCATCGAAGGTGTGTGCCCTGCGCAGCTCCCTACTCCAGGGGGCACAGAAGGGCCAGGGGAGGGCCTAGGACCTGCCCCGGGGGCTTCCCTACTTGCTGGGTGATGGCAGGAAAGGGAGAGAATTTCTCTCTCTCAGCTCCCCCTGGAGGGAGGAGATGGGATGGTTGGCCCTACTTTACAGATAGGAAAACTGAGGCAGGGTTTTTCTGGAGCTCCACCTGGAGGTAGCGCAGGGCCTGAGAAGTGGTCCTATGCGGCCACCACTACCATCGTGGGGACTGACACTAAGTGGCTGGAGGGGCCCGCTGCTGGGAGGGGGCGCTGGAGACCCTGGCTCGTCACTGCCAAGGCCGGCTCGGGGAGCCACGAGATGATGCTCTTGCTCTCCCCCTCCCAGGTCTCATGGGCCGCGCCATCCCGCCTGAGCGACACAGCCCCCACCATCTCAAAGAACAGCACCACGTCCGAGGCTCCATCACGCAAGGTACCCTGCCCTCTGCTCCCCAAGTGTCCCCGCATGCCCGGCCACCACGCCCTCGTGGCAGCTACAACAAGCCCTTGGGTTTACAGTCAGGGTGGGCGGGGGAGGGAAGGCATACCAGAGTGCCATGGGTGCCCAGGTATGTGGAAAGGCATGTAACACACGTGTACATGACAGGTATGTGTGCAGGTTGAAAGGCAGAGCAAGGCATTCCTTATGTATTTGAAAACAAAAAGAGAAGCAAAATACTACCCATCACCCTCAACTTTGTAGACGTCATTTATTGAGCATCTACTGTGCTCTGCGCTTGGTGCTACCCCAAGTGCTCTCTAGATATTATCTTATGGAACAGACTCCAAGAGGAAGATACAGTTGGTGGGAGGATCAAAGAGGTCAGATACCCTGCCCGGGTTCTCCTGGCTGGTCAGTGGCAAACCAGCTACTGAGAGCCCCATTCTATGCATCTTATCTATGTTATCTCACTGAATGTTCATGACTTGGTGAGGGGTTTCAGTTACTACTCCCATTCTATATGTGAAGAAATTGAGGCTCAGAGAGGGCAAGTCATGTGCTCAAGGTCACACAACAAGTGAGGGCTTGAACCCAGGTAGTCTGGCTCCAGAATCTGCCAGCATGGAGGCCCCAGGTTAGGATGGGCGAGGTGGGGTACAGGTGCAAGGGTCAACACCCCGTCCTCCCCGGCAGGGATCCCACGATCCTACGTGGAGGCCCAGGAAGACTACCAGCGTCGGGAGGCCAAGCTCCTGAAGCGTGAGGGCACGCCGCCCCCGCCCCCCCCGCCCCCACGGGACCTGGCCGAGGCCTACAAGGCCCGGCCCTTGGAGGCCCTGGGCCCCCTGAAGCTGAAGCCAGCCCACGAGGGCCTGGTGGCGACAGTGAAGGAGGCCGGCCGCTCCATCCATGAGATTCCACGGGAGGAGCTGCGGCGGACGCCTGACCTGCCCCTGGCCCCGCGGCCGCTCAAGGAGGGCTCCATCACGCAGGTACGGGCGCGGGGCTGGGCGGCTGGGCCAAGATCGGGGCGGCGGGTGCTGATGGGCACCGCTCTGGCCCCTACAAATGGGGAAACTGAGGCCCAGACTCGTTGAGTGCCATGCCCAGGATCACACAGCTGCTCATCACTGAGCCGTCATCACGTCCGTTCCAGATTCCATACCAAGGCCTTTAGACTATATCCATGACCTCGTTCACTTGTATTTACAGCCCAGGAGAGTCATAGCTATCATCCCCATTCTCCAGGTGGAGAAACTGAGGCCCAGAGAGGTCAAGACGCTTGCCAAACCCCAGAGCTAGATGTAATAATGAACACCGGTCATGGATCGAACCCCCGATCCATGACCATAAGACATCATGACTTATCTAACCCTCACAGCAGCACTCTGAGGTAGTTCTCTTACTGTCCTCATTTTAGTGGTGAGCAAACAGGTTCAGAGAGGTTAAACAGCTTGTCCAGGGTCACACAGCAAGTAAACGGCAGTTGTGCATCTCAAATCCAGATGTCCCTAAATCTGCAACGTCTTTGCTTCTTGGCATCCACTTCTCCCACCAGCATGTTGCACCTCACCCTACCCCCACCCCCGTGGCTCTGGCCCCCCAGAGGCCCCAGCCTGGTAGGGGAACATGAGCTCTGATTGTGTGAGGAGCTGGTCGGTGGAAACCACCTAAGAACCAGTGTCTCTTCCCTTGGTCAGAGGTGGCTGATGTGAATGAGGAAGGAGCATGGGATCCATCGGGGGCTGCGTGGCTGTGAGGTGGCAGGGACTGGGGAGGGTGTCCAGGAGGCCTACAGTTGGCTAACGGCACAGAGGTGCCCCGGGAGAAGGCGGGAGCGGTGGGAAGATTGTCGAAGGCCAGGGGACGAGTTTGGCTCTCAGCCTCTGGGCAGTTGTGAAGCCATTGGCAAGAGTCCACCATGGATCCAAAAGGGAGGCCAGTCTGATTCTGGAATATTCTTTTTAAAATAAGGGCACTTCCCCTTCTTAAGAAAGTAATTAAAACACTCCCGAAGGGCTTCCCTGGTGGCGCAGTGGTTGAGAGTCCGCCTGCCGATGCAGGGGACACGGGTTCGTGCCCCGGTCCAGGAAGATCCCACATGCCGCGGAGCGGCTGGGCCCGTGAGCCATGGCCACTGAGCCTGCGCGTCCGGAGCCTGTGCTCCGCAACGGGAGAGGCCACAACAGTGAGAGGCCCGTGTACGGCAAAAAACAAAAAACAAAACCACTCCTGAATAAAAGCAGAGTTCTCTTACTTGGCAAACACACAGAGCCCACCGTATCCTGGGTTTCCCCGGCCTGCGCAGACAGGGTGGGTCTTCTCCCAGGCGGCCGGGCTGCAGCTCGTCCGTGACCCCTGTTTCTTCAGCTGCCCTTTCTGGCCATAGAGCAGACAGAAACCTCTGCCCTCTGACCTCTGAGACTTGAGCCTCAGGGTGGTGGAACTGGAGTTTGCGGCTGGCTTTTCTGGCTTGGCATTGGGTGGGCCACAGAGGGTCCCAGACTGACAGGAAGAAGGTATTTGCCCTCATGGGGGTGTTAAGTCTCTTTCCAGCAAACCCCAAGGGCCAACAGAGGTTCCTCCACTTGCTCCAGGAAGGGCTGACCTCTGAACTTTGTGCCCCCTTCTGCAGCCCCCCAGGTGGCTCCGGTGGCCAGGGTCCAGGACAGGGGTGGGCAGGGCAGGGACAGGTGTGCGCTCATCTTAGGCTTAGCAAAGCCCTTCCTCCCCCGCCCCTGGAGGCATGAGATGTCGCTCCCATTTCATAGCTGAGAAACTGAGGCTCAGAGCAGTTGTGTAGCTGAAGCTTATCCCCACCTTGCCCCTCAGGGCACCCCGCTCAAGTATGACACCAGCACGTCCTCCACCGGCTCCAAAAAGCACGACGTGCGCTCCATCATCGGCAGCCCCGGCCGGACGTTCCCGGCGGTGCACCCGTTGGACGTGATGGCCGACACCCGGGCGCTGGAGCGCGCCTGCTACGAGGAGAGTCTGAAGAGCCGGCCGGGCGCTGTCAGCAGCTCGGGGGGCTCCATCACCCGGGGGGCCCCGGTCATCGTGCCTGAGCTGGGCAAGCCACGGCATAGCCCCCTGACCTACGAGGACCACGCGGCGCCCTTCGCCAGCCACCTACCCCGCGGATCACCGGTGACCACACGGGAGCCAACCCCGCGCCTGCAGGAGGGTGCGTGGGGCGGGGCGCGAGGTGGGGAGGGGCCACGGGGTGGGGCGGGGCCACGGGGTGGGGCGGGGCCTCGGTGGGCTCCGGTCTCTGAAACTGCCTTACCATCCACTCCGTAGCTCAGGAGCATCCTCGGGGCCACCACATCCACTCCACCTGCCAGACCAGTGGGTTCTACCTCCAAACCACCCTCAGGATTCTCTCCATCTCTCGGCCACCTCCAGATCACCTGGCTTCCCTGACTTCTCACTTGTCCTGCTAATAATCTGCTCCCCACACGGCGGCCTGAATACTTTTTTGAAATATTTACATCAGATTATGCCATTGTTCTGCTTAAATCTTTCCAGTGACTTCTCACTGCACTTAGGAAAAAGTCACCCTTTTCCGCCATGGCCTTGGGAGCCTGCAGGATCCCGCCCCACCCACCTTTCCATCTTACTGCCAAATTCCTTTATCTGCTGCTTTATGTCTCTTCCTTGACCACACTCAGCTCATTCTTTGCTCAAGACCTTTGCACGTGCTGTCCCCTGTGCCTGAAATCCGCCCCCGCCCCCAGCCCACCACCCGCCTTTCAGATCTTTACCTAACTGGTTTCTTTTGCACCTTTTAGGACTCTGTTCAAATGTCACATCCTCAGGGAGGCCTCTTATGACCACCCTCCCCCCTTCAGTATTCTGGTCACATTCTGTCACATTTAAAAATTTTCTTCAGAGCATTTATTACTCTGAGATTCTTTTTCGATGACTAGTTGATCATCTGTCTCATGCATTGAATGTCAGCCCCACGGGGGCCGGGATTTTTCTGTTTTGTTCAGCGGGGGAGCCCTAGCTCTTAGAAAGTGCTCGGCATGTCGTAGACACTTAATAAATGTTTTTGGTTGATTGAAGGAATGCACAAGAAAGGGAATGAAGGAAAGAAAGAATGAACTTTTTAAAAGAGCTAAAAAACAGAAGCAAGTGAGTGAATGAATAAATAAAAGGAAAAATGAACTAGACGCAAATGGATGGATGACGAGGCCTGGTCCCTGGGGATCCCAGAGACCCTACCCTCAAATGACTTCCCCTAAGCACTAGCCTTGGCAGCCCCCGTGTTGGAGGCTGGGACACCTATGGCACAGAGGTCTGATGCCATCCCCACTTGGCCTGTCCCCACAGGCAGCCTCTCGTCCAGCAAGGCGTCCCAGGATCGGAAGCTGACGTCCACGCCCCGTGAGATTGCCAAGTCCCCTCACGGCACCGTGCCTGAGCATCACCCCCACCCCATGTCGCCCTACGAGCACCTGCTCCGGGGTGTGAGTGGCGTGGACCTGTACCGCGGCCACATCCCGCTGGCCTTCGACCCCACCTCCATACCCCGTGGGATCCCTCTGGATGCAGGTGATTGTCCCGGACCCATAGAACCCTGCGGCATCAGTGTCAGCCCGAGGGCTCCTCGGGCATCAACTAGCTGCCACTGTGTGGGGAAACTGAGGCATGGTGGGGGGGGAGACCCAACAGTGTGATCATGTCAACAGTTTAGGTGAGAAACAGAATTTCTCTTAGGGGTCTGAGGGACATGCTGGGTTAAACGTTTTTCAGTGGTTTTCTTTTCCTGCGGAACTTATCAGTGCCTTTAAAATTGCAAACGTATCAAAAGAGGGCTCAAGGGTGAGCGTTCCCCAGACGGACGTGATCTGAAAATCTGTTTAGAAGGATGCAGCCCTTAGGTATTTTAGTGATCCCCATTTTGGATGCCCTGTGTTTGGGGGGATTTCCATCCAAAGAACATTATCAATCAGAGGCACCCACATGTGTGTCAGGGCAGCGAGGGTTGTTCTCCTTCTAGGCTCTCAGTTCTGTTTTCTGGGGGGTGTTTGGGAGAAGCTGTGAGGCACTGAGACCGGCGGGGTGGGCCGAGGTGTGGGCCGGCCTGACCTTGCTCCCCTTCTCCCGGTAGCCGCTGCCTATTACCTGCCCCGGCACCTGGCCCCCAACCCCACCTACCCACACCTGTACCCGCCTTACCTCATCCGCGGCTACCCCGACACGGCGGCGCTGGAGAACCGCCAGACAATCATCAACGACTACATCACGTCACAGCAGATGCACCACAACGCGGCCGCCGCCATGGCCCAGCGAGCTGACGTGCTGAGGGGCCTGGCGCCCCGCGAGTCCTCGCTGGCGCTCAACTACGCCGCCGGCCCGCGAGGTGGGTGGGGCAGGGCGCTGCCAGTCACGCGGGTGGGCAGAACCCGCCACCCAGAATTGGCCTTACTCCTGGTCTGCCCGGGGTCCTGAGAGCACAGGACACGTGCGTGCCCACGCGTGCACGTCTGTCCTTGCCTTAGAGGCTCGGGTTGTATCGCTGCGCTGAGAGCACACACAGACCTGGCAGGTGGTGCAAGGTTGTGTGTGCTGTGTGTCCTGGATGCGTACACACGGGCTCTGCACGTGCTTGTGTCCTCTTGGTATGTGTGGTCCCTGGAGTTTAAAAAAAAAGATGGAAATGTGAGGCTGTTTGAACTTCAGGTTCCCTTGAGTGGAAACCAGCCCGGGGTTGCTTTGCATATGCATATTACAGTCGCCTTGTGGAAACACTTCTGGAATGTGCTTCCGGAGCAACCAAGTACTAGTTACGGTCCAGTTGGTAAAACCGGTCACACTAGGTATTTCATACAGTGGGGACTGAGTACCAGGAAAGGACTGCATAGGGTCAAAGGCAAAAAGGGCACACCAAAAGAGCAAAATGGGCATAGCAAGGTATGCAGGGGTGCCAACTGCAAGCCACATCCACTTCAGGGTTTGGGAGCGAAGGGACGAGGTGCTGTGAGCACCCGGCATTCAGAGAAGGGTCCTGCGGGCCCGGTGCGGGGACCAAGGAGGGAGCATCCGGCCGTGCTGCTTCTCGGAGGACGCGCGGCGCTCCACCGGCTGGGGTGGTCCAGCCAGGAGGCAGCCTGGCCCCTCTCCTCCCCCGACCGCTGCAGCCCGGCCCCACCTCCTCTCTCACAGGCATCATCGACCTGTCCCAAGTGCCACACCTGCCTGTGCTGGTGCCCCCGACACCAGGCACTCCAGCCACCGCCATGGACCGCCTAGCCTACCTCCCCACGGCACCGCAGCACTTCAGCAGCCGGCTCAGCAGCTCCCCGCTCTCCCCAGGTGAGGCCCCCACCCCCGTTCTGGGCGTCCTCGGGCAGATGCCTTGCCCTCTCTGTTCCACCCTGGAAGACAAATCCAGGGCCCTTCCTGTGTCCGGGGCTGAGCCGCAGGCCTTTGGGTTTCCAGGAGGCCCCACCCACTTGACAAAACCCACGGCCACGTCCTCGTCCGAGAGGGAGCGGGAACGGGAGAAGTCCATCCTCGCGTCTACCACCACGGTGGAGCACGCGCCCATCTGGAGGCCCGGTAGGACGGCGGAGCCGCCTGCACACGCCCCAGCGGTCCCTGTGGCTGCGCGTGGCCCGCCCCTCTGATCCCACGGCTTGTTTCCACCAGGTACGGAGCAGAGCGGCGGCGGCGGAGGCGGTGGCGGCGGCGGCGGCGGCGGCGGCGGCGGCGGTGGGGGTGGGAGCAGCGGCAGCCGCCCCGCCTCCCACTCCCACCAGCACTCGCCCATCTCACCCCGGACCCAGGACGCCATCCAGCAGAGGCCCAGCGTGCTGCACAACACGGGCATGAAGAGCATTATCACCTCCGTGGAGCCCAGCACGCCCACGGTCCTGAGGTGGGCCAGGTTGGCACAGGGGAGGGGACAGGCCGGGGGGTGGGGGCGGTCACTGGATGCAGGTTGGGGGGATGCGCAAGTGTACCGATGGGTTGGGAGGTATATGGGAGAGTGAGCGATGGCTGGGCAGGTAGGTGGGTGGGTGGCTAGGTGGGTGAGAAGGTAAAGAGGTGGGTGATTGGGTTAGTTGGATGGGTGGGTGGATAGATGAATGGATGGATGGGTGGATAATAGACTTTGGGTGGGTAAGTGGATGGATGACAGGTGAGTAGGTAGATGCATAGGTGGGTCAGTGGTGGATAGATGCGTGGCGGAGCTAGATGAACGGGCAGGTGGGGGGGTAGATGGATAGATAACAGCGGGTGGGTGGGTGGATGGATGGATGGTTGTGTTAGAGAGCTAGGTGAATAGGTGGATGGATGGAGGTGGATGAACAGATGGTGGGTAATTGGATGGAGGTTGGGTTAGATGGGTGAGCAGGTAGGTGGATGGATGGGTAGATGGGTGAGTAGATAGGTGATGGGTTGAGTAGGTGGGTGGATGGGTGGTTGGGTTGGGTTAGGTAGGTAGGTGGGGAGGTGGGTGGATAGATGGGTAGGTGGACAGGTGATGAGTTGGGTAGATGGCTGGGGGGGTTGGGTGGGTAGATGGATGAGTAGGTGGTTCATTGGGTAGATGGATGACGAGTTGGGTGGGTGGATGGGGGAGTAGTTGGGTGGGTTGTCGAGTTCAGGAATGGAGTCTGTGGAGCGGGGAGGGAGAGGCAGAGTGAGGCCTGTGAGGAGAGCCTTTCCTGTTCCTCCCAGGATTCAGCAGGGCCCTACAGGGAGGAGCTAGTGTCTCTCTTGCCTGGACAAAGTCCAGAGGTTCCGTGAAGATGGGAGAAGCTGCAGAGGTCCCATATGTGTCCCCCCCGCCACCCCCCGGAGTCCACTTCCTATCACAACAGGCCCAGGACCCACCTCCCAACCCCTGCCCAAGGTCTGTGGGCAGAGCTGCCTGACGGGGGAGGGAGCTTCCCCAATACCCCTGCCCGCCCAGCGACAGTTTGGAGGTGGCTGCTTCTTCCAAAATGAAGTATCCGTTCATGCGAGTATGCTTCCATTTGGCTAGTCTAAATCATACCTTCCCCACCACCATCCCAATTATGAAAAATGACATCATTTCCCAAGCGCATAGGCTTGTCCCCTCTGAGTCAGGTCCCCAGCGGGTACGCATGGAAGGAGCGCCTGAGTCTCAGAGTGGGGCACCCAGGCGTGAGCTCCCACCAGCAACCACCGGTGAGAGGCTGTAGCAGGGACATCAAGCCCTTTCCCAGTGGCAGCTGAGTTAAGACCCCTGGGAGAGAGGGTTAGCACAAGCCTTCCTCATGGAAAACGCTAGGCTTGACAGGCCACAAGAGATGGCGTCGGGCCAGCTCATGTCCAAGCCTGTTTCTCATCTGCAAAGCAGGGATAGTTACATTGACCCTGTGAAGGTCAGAGAGAGGGCATCTGTGCATCCCTTCTTCCTGTTGGGCCTGCGGTGGGCCTCCTGCCCTGTGCTGGGTACGGGGGACACGGTAATGGTTGACGCACGCAGTGCCCTCTTAGGGCTTGTGGGCTAGACCCATAAGCCTCTGGGGTAAGGAAGAGCGCTCCAGGCAGAGGGGACGACAGGGAGCCCTGTGTGGCCCCTGATGGCGGAGGTGGGAGAGCTGGGCCCCACTGCCCTGTCCTTTAACCACCCGCCCTAGCCTGCCCTCTGGGCCTTTGCCCTGTGGCTCACTCATTTCCTCCCCAGCGCATGTGCCAGCCCCTCAGAGTCCCCCGTGAGCCCTGCCTAAGAGCTCCCTTGCCATTCTCTTAGCAGAACGTAACCCAGACTCGTTCACCTTCGAGCAGTTGCCACACTGATAGGGGTTTAATTTATCACGTTATCACATTAAGACGTGCGTAGTCTGTCTTCTCACCCAGAACGTATGGCGCTTTTGTCTGTTTTGTGCACTGCCGTACCCCAGTGTCTAGAACGGCGCCTGACACATAGTAGGTGCTCAGTAAAAAGTTTTGGGCTGACGAGCTGATGGGCTGGATGGACGGCGGGTGGATGGGGTAGGTGAGGCCACAAGGCACGGGGGCTCGCAGGTCTCGGTCAGCAGCGTTTATTCTGAGAGCAGTAGGGAGAGTGGGAGCTCTTCCGGGCAGGGGAGACTCCGCAGGGTGTCAAAGTGAGGGAGTGACCCTGCCTCGGCCTCACAGGCCCGGGTTGTGGCTCGCGCAGCTGCTGAACCTCCCTCTCTCTTCCCCCAGGTCCACCTCCACCTCCTCGCCTGTCCGCCCGGCCGCCACATTCCCACCCGCCACCCACTGCCCACTGGGTGGCACCCTCGACGGGGTCTACCCCACCCTCCTGGAGCCTGTCTTGCTGCCTAAGGAGGCCCCGCGGGTCACCCGGCCCGAGCGGCCCCGAGCAGACGCCGGCCACACCTTCCTCGCCAAGCCCCCAGCCCGCGCGGGGCTGGAGCCCGCGTCCTCCCCCGGCAAGGGCTCCGAGCCCCGGCCCCTGGCGCCGCCTGGCTCCGGCCACGCAGCCATCGCCCGCGCCCCGGCGAAGGGCATCACGCCCCACCACGCCAGCCCGGACCAGCCAGCGCCGCCCGCCTCGGCCTCGGACCTGCACCGGGAAAAGACTCAAAGTAAACCCTTTTCCATCCAGGAATTGGAACTCCGTTCTCTGGGTAAGACCACCCTGACAGCGGCCACCTTCATAGACGCGATAATCATGCGTCAAATTGCTCACGATAAAGGGCCGCGAGAAGGAGGTTCGCTGGCCAACGACTCCCCTCGCGATGGTAAGACTCCTGGCCCCGCCGCCCACCCGCTCCGTCTTGTGGCCTAAAGATATTTTCAGATCTCTGCTTTTTATTTTTCCCCCATTTTTCGTTGGTTTTGGTATTTTGTTTTGAAAGTCGTCCTCGTCGATTGCACGCTCTGGTGGTTCCTCCAGCCGCGCACACCCGCTCTGAGCGGGGGGCAGCCTCATTCTTTGCACATCGTTCTATCATGATTTTTTTGTGTTGTTTTGGATTTTCGCTTTTTTTCCTTTAATGAATGGATCTGTGATTTTGACTTTAGCCGCGCCTCCCATCTCCCCCTTTGCGCCTTTGTCTGGGGAGCGGGGCTGCAGAGGGGCGCAGGCCGATGCCTCCCACCCCCCGGCACACAGTGCAGAGAAGACGGGGAGGGGGGGAGCGCCGCCACTCTCCAGGAGGAGCTGGGAACCTGCCCCCTGCGTCCTGCCCAGGTCGTGAGGGTGTCTTGGGGGCACTCTGCCCCACGCTCCCCTTGCCAACCCACCAGCCAGCAGCCCCGGGGACGAGGGGCATCCTCCGTGCTGGAGCGGGGCTGTGGCCCGGTGGGGACACTGGGACCTGAGTGTCGCTCCCGCCCCAGCCCTCACCGACCTCACTCTCTCACCGCCTGTCCGCTGCCCCTACACTCCCTTCACAGAGACTCATCCTCCCCCATGTCACTCCGCCCGCCCCTGGCCCGCCGGCACCACCGGGTTCTGTCTCCGTCCCTTTTCCCACCTGTGCTGCTTTCCAGCTCTCCCTCTGCTTGGATCTCTCCCCGTCCCCCTCCGCCCTCCTGCCTGTGCGTCCTGTTCTCTGCGCTGCTTCCGTGTCCAGCTCTCTCTACAGCCCTCTCTCCCTGTAGCCCCCGTCCCTCTTTTCTCACTCTGCCCCCACCCCTGGCCGGCCAGCAGACCCCACGCTGGCTCTCTCCCTCTCTCTCCCTCGGCCCCAGCTCCCACCCCCGGCCTGGGGGACCCCGCCAGTGTGGGAGGGTAGGCTGGGAGGGGCAGCCTGGCCCTGGTGCTTGCCTGACTCGCGGCCTCACCCGGCTTCAGGTTACCACGGCGGCGGCTACAGCCCTGATGGGGTGGAGCCCGTCAGCCCCGTGAGCTCACCCAGCCTGACCCATGACAAGGGGCTCCCCAAGCACCTGGAGGAACTCGACAAGAGCCACCTGGAAGGGGACCTGCGGCACAAGCAGCCAGGTAGGGTCCTGCCCTGCCTCCGAGCCCCCTCCCGCCCCCCCGCGTGTGAGACAGGGACAGTTGTCACCCCATCGCGCAGGTGGGGAAACTGAGGCACTCAGAGGCGGCGGAATCGGCCTCGCACCACGGCTCAGAGGGCAGAGCCGGGCTCTGAGGGCAGCAGCCCCGCCAGGCACACGCCTCGCCCCCCTCAGCCACGCCCTGACCTGCTCTGCTCTGCCCACAGGCCCGGGGAAGCTCAGCGGCGAGGCTGCACACCTCCCACACCTGCGGCCGCTGCCCGAGAGCCAGCCCTCGTCCAGCCCGCTGCTCCAGACCACCCCAGGGGTCAAAGGTCACCAGCGGGTGGTCACGCTGGCACAGCACATCAGTGTAACTACCCCTCCTCTGCCCCCTCCTCATTGCCTTTGTACCTGGGGTGGGACCCGGCCCCGAGGAAGAGTGGGGGGAGGGTCCACGCACCGTCTGGTGGGTAAACTGAGTCCTGGTGAGGTGAGCCAGGGATCTGGGGGTTGGTGAGGGCAAGCCATGTCAGGGGTCCCAGAGTCTCAAACTCAGGTGCTATATCCGCCCCCTCATCCAGCTGACGGAGCCTCAGGTGCACGAGCCCAGCCGCGATCCACATCTTACACACGCTGGTCAGGGGAACCCGATCCACCTGGGGGCCCACTTTGAGACTTGGGCCAATGCCCCCACCCCATGCACTTGGGGGCATTGAGGCTGTGTGGGCAGGCCCGAAGCCCCTGGGGAACCAAGGACCCGGGTTCTGCCCCCAAAGCTCAGTCCAGCCCTCACCCCGCCTGGAAGGTTCTGGCAGATGGCTGGCGCCTGACCCTGCTCCTGTCCCCTGACCCTTGGCCTGCAGGAGGTCATCACGCAGGACTACACGCGGCACCACCCACAGCAGCTCAGTGCGCCCCTCCCTGCCCCCCTGTACTCCTTCCCTGGAGCCAGCTGCCCCGTCCTGGACCTTCGCCGCCCACCCAGCGACCTCTACCTCCCAGCCCCGGACCATGGCGCCCCGGCCCGTGGCTCACCCCACAGTGAAGGGGGCAAGAGGTGAGTGGCGGTGGGAGACAGGGTGCCCCTTGCTGGTCACCACCGAGAGGGCTCTGTTAGGTGTCTGCTGCGGGAAGCTTGAGCCCAGTAAAGTGCGAGGCCCGCCTGGAGCCATTGCACATATGAGAAACCGAGGTTCAGGGAGACCAGGGAGTTTGCTCAAGGTCACGGCGCAGCTGGACAATAGCTGTTACATACGCCACACTCGGGGGGATTCCAGGCACCAAGCTGAATACTTCACACCTGTTAACCAGGATCCTCACCACAACCTTGGGAAGTGTAGGCAGTGTTATCCCATTTCACAGACAAAGAAACTGAGGCACGGAGCAGTGAATTCACTTGCCTATAGGGACGCAGCCAGTAAGTGGCGGAGCTGGGATTCGAAGCAGAGCCGTGTGATTTGAGAGCCGCCTCCTAACGGGCACATACACACTTGCACTCCTGGTTACCCCTGGGGGGCTCCCTGGTCAGAGAGGAGAGGAGCGGGGAGGGACCCCCGCTCTAGGATGAAGGAGCCATTCCGGGTGGCGCACAGATTTGGGGAGACAGCAACATGTCTTTGGGGGAACAGTGGGGTCCCTGGCGTCGGGGTGCAGCAGGGGTTCAGCCAGATTCAGCCCACGGCCTGTGCTTGCATGGTCCACGAGCTAAAGATGATTTTACGTTTTTAAAGAAGGAGAATATACAGCAGAGACTATAAGTGGCCCACGACGCCTGAAATGTTTGCTATCTGACCCTTTGCAGGAAAAGCGGGCTAACCCTTGGTTTAGAACGAGGCAGGGTTTAGCGGGGAGTGGAGAAAGGGATGCGCCCCCTTCAAGAGGGAGAGCCCTGAGCTCTGACCACCGCGGGGACCCTCTCTCCGCCCAGGTCTCCAGAGCCAAGCAAGACGTCAGCCTTGGGCAGCAGTGAGGATGGTATAGAACCTGTGTCCCCGCCGGAGGGCATGGCAGAGCCCGGGCATCCCCGGAGCACCGTGTACCCGCTGCTGTACCGGCACGGGGAGCAGGTGGAGCCCAGGTACCTGCACGGCAGCCCCTCCCCTTCCTGGGGCGCTCAGGACTCGGGCCCTTGCCCACCTGCGGCCTCGATCCACCACTGTGCAGCTGGGAGCTTGGCAAGGGCTTTGGGGTGCAGCCGGGGGGCCTCAGACCCGCTAAACAAGGTCAAAACTTGACGGACCTCCACGGCTGCTTCCTGAGCCTTGGGCTGGGGTCTCTTAGCTCAGGCCCGGCCCCTGTTGCCGGCACTTGAGGATCCGAGAAATAAAGAGCTAAGTGTGCTGGACCAAACTGGGGCCCCGGGGAGTAGAGGGGGATGGAGGTGGAGAGAAAGGGCCCCCTGACCTCAGGGGCAGACGTGGTCTGAGCCCACTTTGGTTCCCGAGGCTCTTTTCTGGGAGTCCAGCTATTTCAAGTAGACAGGCGTGGCCCACCGGGGCAGCTGGGGCTCTGCAGAGACACCCTGAGCCCAAGGATAGGTGGATGACAGAGGGGATTTCGGAAGACATGGGCCCTAAGAAGTGGGGGAAGCAAGCATGAGGTGGGAGAAGCTTCATTCTGAATTTCTAAGGCAGCTCAGGTGGTAAGCTCCCCATCATCAAGGGAACTGACCTGGGGTGTCTGATCCTCGCAGCAGGATGGGCTCCAAATCCCCAGGCAACACCAGCCAGCCGCCGGCCTTCTTCAGCAAGCTGACCGAGAGCAACTCGGCCATGGTCAAATCTAAGAAACAGGAGATCAACAAGAAGCTGAACACCCACAACCGGAACGAGCCAGAATACAGTAAGGGGCCCACCCTCCTTGGGAGCGGGGATACCGGGGGCTGGGGGTTAGCACAGCTGGGTGGACCCGCCGGCCCGTCACCCCACGTTCAGGGAGCCCGTGTTGTCCCTCTTTTTCCCATAGGCATTTGCTGGGTTGTCACAGCATGATGCCCGGCACACAGGGGGCACTCGGGATATTGGCATGCACGGGTCTGTTCGTAGTGGGCGCCAGAGATCAGGGTCACGCCCTTACAAGGACCCCGTGTGTACCCCACGCACGATGCGCTTCACACCTGTGACTTGTTTTCCCCATTTTTGCGGTTACTGGACGTAAACCCTAGCTTAGCTCTACCCTGTCAGCACAGTGCCGGGCACATAGCAGCTGCTCGAGAGAATACATGAGCGGGTGAAGCAACGAATGAAGGCACATCACATCCCCGGCCTCAGCAAACTCACTAGCGCGGGGAGCTCGGGGCCCTTGCAGAGGCTTTTCTCTTTCTGGGGCTGGAGTCGCAGCCTTGCAGACAGTCCCTGGCCCAGGCCGCTAAGTCCAGAACCTTGCCAAGTGTTGTGCCTGGGCCAGTAGGTCAGCAGCCTCAGGGGGCTGGCTCGAAATGCCGACTCTCAGGCCCTGCCCCAGCCCTGCTAAATCTGTCTGCATTGCGCAAGCTCCCAGGTGGTGCACCTTGCCGAGACCAGACAGGGGACATAGTGGGGGGAAGGTGCTTTCCAGGACCTGTAGGCCTCACCCATCTCGTCGTCCCCCTCCAGATATTGGCCAGCCCGGGACGGAGATCTTCAACATGCCCGCCATCACCGGAGCAGGTAACCCGGTCACCCTGGGCTGCTCGGCCGACAGGCCATCCCCTCCCTCCCCCTCCCCCGTCACTGTGCGCCCAGGGAGGTCAAGCTGGGTGTCTGGACCTGGAAGGAGACTTGGGAGTGAGGCCTCGGAGGTCACTGGGCCTCACATCAGCCGTAGCCATGGTGACACTTGGCTTTCATAGTTCAAGTGTGTCCCCTCCTCTGCGGTGGGGATGCAGACACACACGAAAGGCCGGCGGGGTCTGGCGAGGAGTGTCTATTTGGAGTTCAATTTCAAGGCCTTCTGGTGCATGTAGCACAGCATTAGGATCACCCACAACTACCCGGGACCTGTGTGTTGGGATCTCGGATGGAGATGTGAGTGTGTGGAGTGGGCCTGTGTGTGCACGTGGTCCGCGTGGGCATTTTTTATAGGTGGAGCATCGGTTTTACTGGAAAATCCCATCCAGGGAGCTGGGGAAACAGTGCAGATGTATTCCAGAGATGAGTGTAAAATTCACACACATTTTTTTTAATATAAATTTATTGTATTTATTTATTTTTGACTGTGTTCGGCCTTCGTTGCTGCACACGGGCTTTCTCTAGTTGCAGCAAGCGGGGGCTACTTTTTGTTGCCGTGCACGGGCTTCTCATTGCGGTGGCTTCTCGTTGCGGAGCACGGGCTCTAGGCGCGTGGGCTTCAGTAGTTGCAGCACGCGAGCTCAGTAGTTGTGGCTCGCGGGCTCTAGAGCGCAGGCTCAGTAGTTGTGGCGCACGGGCTTAGTTGCTCCGTGGCATGTGGGATCTTCCCGGACTAGGGCTCGAACCCGTGTTGCCTGCATTGGCAGGCGGATTCTCAACCACCACTGCGCCACCAGGGAAGCCCTCACACACATTTTTACACTGAAACTTAAGCCTTCTATGATGTTTTGGAGCCTGTGGGGTTACACTGTGCATTTCTGCTGCCTCTGTAGAAGGACTGGGACGGGGCTTTGGGGAAGCATCTGGTGTCTGGTGTGAAGTGGTTGAGCCAGAGCAGACAGGGCTGACCCTCCGCCAGAGGCCTGCCCGGTATGGGGAGGAACGAGGCGTCTTTGGGGGGACGTGCTGACCTTCCCTGAGGGCCATCACAGCTCTGGGAATGTGGTGAGCAAAAGGCAGCCATTGGATTTTATCAGGGGGCCACGGGGCCTCTAAATGGGGGTCCCAACTGGGGAATGTCCACCCACCCAGAGACTAGACGCTGGGGGCTTGGCTGAGCCTCGGGCAATGGGGAGGAGACAATTCGGTCAAAACAACAAGATGGACAGAAATGAATGTTTTCATGTTTTCATTTCAGAGTTGCTCATACACCGACACAGGCACGTGTGTGTGTAGAAATTCATGCGGTACAAGGAACTTGTATATAAATTAGACTCAACTATTTTTCAAAGCAGTTTAGGCCACACACACAAAATTTCCCCAGACCCAGGTCTCTGCTGCTTAATTAGCTCCTGCTTTAGGACTGGAGACGGTCAGCTTCCTGCCTAGCACTGACAGACCATGGACCCGTGACCTTGGGTGGCAGGTTCAGTAATGTCTGTGATCGTAGGATGCTAACCTACCAAGGAACCATCATGACCTCTATCCCTCGCATCTTTTTTTTCCACTTCCCAGTGTCTTAGTTTGTAGGATCATAAATGCTTCTCCCCCCTCCCCGCCCCACTCACTCCTGCTGGAAATTTTGCTTTTCCTTGACCGACATGACTTTTTTTAAGTGCTGATGGAGCATGGCTGAGACACAGCTAAAAACCTCTCAAGGGGTCCTGTGGCTGTGAATGAACTTGAAACTAAAAGGAAGAAAAGAAAATGAAAACGTAGACAGCAAATCGTTGCTTTAGAAATGTGATTTTAGATGCTGCCGTGTTGCTCCGAGCCTCCTGGTAACCATCAGTCCAGTTTACAGACGAGTTAGGGGTCAGCAAGACCCATTATTCGGCCACTTGGTAATCATACAATTGACTTGGAGTGGAAGTTTTAAAATCCATGAAAATTTTGCCCAGTGGCAGGCAGAGAGCTTCGTCAGAGGTTTTTGGAAGCAAAGTCTGGTTTAACAAAAATGCCAAAAAGAGGCACGTTCCCCAGGGTTTGCAGATGTCCCCAGAATGGTTCACAAGCAAACAAGAGAGGGACAGAAAACCTGGTAAACAGAAAACGAGGCATAACTGGCGTGACTTTGAAGTGGGTGTCTGGAAGGATTCGTGAGGGACAGTTGTTGATCGGACCACTTCGTGCCGGGTGGCCGGGCCGGGGGCGGCCATGTGATTGTTTCCAGCTCTGCCCTGACCCCCCGCACGCACCGTAACTGCATGGCTGCGACCCCCCTCTCCACCGTCCGTCTCTGCACCTCTTTCTCCTTGTGGCTCCCGGGCGGGGAGAGGGGGTGGGAGGAGAGTTAGGCCCAGCTGCGGCGGCAGACAGGGGGCTTGAGGGTCCCAGGCCTCGCAGGCAGGGGCGGCCGGAGGACCATCTGGCCACCTTCCCTCCATTCCTCCCAGCAGCCCCCGGGAACCAGGGTGGACCCCCCAGCGCCCAGCACTGAGCTCTGGCTTGTCTTAGTTTCCCAGCAGCCCTTCCCCCAAATAAGGGGACCCCCTGATCCCGCTCCCCGTTCCTTTTTAAGGCCACTCGATTTTTTAAAAAAGAAGCAGCCCCAGCTGGGGGTTAGGGATCCAGAAGGGGCTTCTGATTTCCCCGAGGGCAGAGTAGGAATGAGGCTTGTGGGGGGGGGCGGTCATCTAACCACCCCGAGCCCACCTCTTCCCCCACCGGGAATTCCTGAGGGCTTCCAGGGCCCGAGTCAGAGGGAGCCGTCCGCCCCCATCACCCTGCCGCGGAAACACGGGGGGAAGATAGGGAAATCAAGAATCGTTGCTTTGCCAAAATGTGCTCACTGTGTATTCTTTCTTCTCCTCCCTCTCTCCCTCTCTGCTTCTCTCTCCCTCTCTCCCCTTGTCCCCCCGGCCCCTGCGGCCCCCTTTGTGTGTGTGTCTCTCTCCCAGGCCTCATGACCTGCAGAAGCCAGGCGGTGCAGGAACATGCCAGCACCAACATGGGGCTGGAGGCCATTATTAGAAAGGCGCTCATGGGTAAATATGATCAGTGGGAGGAGCACCCGCTCAGCGCCAATGCTTTTAACCCTCTGAATGCCAGTGCCAGCCTGCCCGCTGCTATGCCCGTAACCGCTGCTGACGGACGGAGGGAACACGCGCTCACCTCGCCAGGTCTGCAGGCCTCCTCCACCCCGTCTGTCCCACCCCGGTGTCATTAATCCTCCCGCCTCCCTCCGCGTTCCTCTGACCAACCCCCCCTCCAGCTTTGGAGCTTGTGACTCTATTTTTGTGCGTGTTTGACGTGGTCCTGGAGTTGGGTAACCCCGAGCTGGGCGGACACCCCCCCCCGGGTGTCTGCGTGGCCCCGGCCCGCCCGCGCCCGCTGGGCCCGAAGGAGCTGCCGCTTTTCTAAAAACACTCATGCCGCTGCCCGAGCCCTGCCCTGCCTCCCTCCCCGGCTGGGCATTCGTCCCGGGATGCCCACGTCCTGGCCCAGCTTGTGTCTCCTTGGGGGAGATCAGGCTGGAGTGAGGACCCACTTTCTCTGTGTGGATCAGGGGGGACCCTTGGGCTCACGGCAGCCAGGCCAGTGGGCCTGGCGTCTGCTGCGGCCACCAAGCATGTTCACGGCTGGCCCTCGGGGCTGATGGGGTGGAGACCAGCATCTGTGTACCAGATCCAAACTCATGAATCAGGGAAACCAGACGGGCTGGCTCGCCCTCTGCCCTGGGTCCCGGATCAACACTGCGTATCGGGGCAAGGGCCAGGAAGAGGGCTCTTGAGCCATTTTCCTGACCTGGACACTGTGGCCCCGGGAGGTTTCTGGACTTAATGAGGGCCCAGGCCTGGCCTCAGGGGCCCTGGCTCCTCTGCAGAGGGCCTGCAGCCTGCCCAGCCCCGGCACAGTCCTGGGGCAGTGGTCAGGGTCAAGCCAGAGGCCTGAGGCTCCGTGCTTGAGGTATTAGCCCCTGGTGGGTAGGGGGCCTCAGGGCAGCCTGAGGGAGCTTTGCAAGTAGTTCTACCCACTCCCCTAGTAGAAACCCCCTCCAAATCCAGGCTCCTGGCTGGGTCTGGCCATCTGGTCGATCTCCTTGGCTTCCCAGGGGGCTGGGGGGCCCGGGAAGCAGGGGTCCAAGGCCTCACCCACCCACCCCCGCCACCTCTACAGCGTGAGCGCTGTCCTCAGTCCAACTCGGCCCCTTCCCATGTGTCCCCCTGCAGGTGGTGGCGGGAAGGCCAAAGTCTCTGGCAGACCCAGCAGCCGAAAAGCCAAGTCCCCGGCCCCAGGCCTGGCGTCTGGGGACCGGCCACCCTCCGTCTCCTCAGTGCATTCGGAGGGAGACTGCAACCGCCGGACCCCACTCACCAACCGCGTGTGGGAGGACCGGCCCTCGTCTGCAGGTGGGCCCCAGGGGCGGGCAGGTGGGCCTGGCCGGCTGCCCGAGCACCTACTGTGTGCGGAGCACGTGGTCAGGCCTGTTCTGAGACACTCGCCCAGGGCCCTGGCCAGCTGAACTGGGGCTCGCAGATGGTCAGGATGCTTCTCGTAAGGGCCCAGGTGGAGGGAAAGAGCACGATTTAGAGAGAGGATGAAGGATTCAGGAAGTGAAGAGAGAGGCCTGTGGGCAAGGGCCGGTCTCACAGGCTTGGGGGGGCCTCAGGGGAGCCCCCGACTTATCTGTGCATGCGAGGAGGTCCCTGGGGGAGGTGCGTGATCTCCCGCAGGTCCAAGGGAGCTCTTGGCTACAGGACAGACGCAGGGGGGCAAGGGCAGGAAGAGCGAGGCGGCTCCCGCTGGGCCGGGCGACAGGCTGCCGGGCATGAATGGCGTGGGAGTGCTGGAAGTGAGGCCAGGTGGGCAGTTTGAGAAAGCTTCCAGGAGACAGAAGAGGTGGGGAGGCAGGAGGCCGAGGCCCCAGCTCCTGGAGAGGTGGGCGGGTGGGCCCCTGGGGGCCGCCAGGCTCACCGGGGCCTCCGGGGCTTCTCTCCCGGCCTCTCCGCAGGGTCCACACCGTTCCCCTACAACCCCCTGATCATGCGGCTGCAGGCGGGGGTCATGGCCTCCCCGCCCCCGCCTGGCCTCCCCGCGGGCAGCGGGCCCCTGGCTGGCCCCCATCACGCCTGGGACGAGGAGCCCAAGCCGCTGCTCTGCTCGCAGTACGAGACGCTCTCCGACAGCGAGTGAGGCTCAGAACGGGGTGGGCCGGCGAGCGGCCGGAGCAGCGGGCGGCTGCCGACTCCGCCCACCGAGGAAGGAGCCCCTGAGTCTGCCTGTGCGCCCGCCTGTCCGTCCGTCCGTCCAGAGCCGGCATCCTTGCCTGTCTAAAGCCTTAACTACGACTCCCGCCCCGGCTGGCCCTGTGCAGTGACCTTACTCAGGGGATGTTTACCTGGTGCTCGGGAGGGGAGGGGCCGGGGAGGGGGCACGGCAGGCGTGTGGCGGCCACACGCACACAGCCGGGGCGGCCAGGGACCCAAAGCAGGACGACCACGCACCTCCCACGCCACTGCCTCCCCACCTAACGCATTTGGAACCAAAGTCTAAACTGAGCTAGCAGCCCCCGCACCCGCCCTCTGTCCCCATCCCGCTTAGCACTCTGGACAGACGGACACAGGCCCTGTCCAGGCCCCAGCGCTCTTGTCCCAGTCCCCACGGGCTGCCCCAGCCGACGAGACCGCTGGAAACCAAGTCAGGCCAGATGGGCGGGCGACGGGGCCGGGTGCGGCCTGGGGTGAGCGGCTGCTCCGAGGAACTGGACTGTTTTTCATACATCGTTGCCGCAGCGGTGGGAAGGAAAGGCAGGTGTAAATGATATATTGGTTTACAGGGTATATTTTTGATACCTTCAATGAATTAATTCAGATGTTTTAAGCAAGGAAGGACTTACCCAGTATTATTGCTGCTGTGCTTTCGATCTCTGCTTACTGTTCAAGAGGCGTACGCAGGTCAACAGTCGGTGACCCCGTAGTCCGCAGGACCGAGGTGGGGCAGGGGCTGCCAGCTCTCGAGCCCCCCTGCGTCCTCCCTCCCTTCCTTCCTTGGGCAGAATGAATTTGAAGGGGATTCTGTGACCGCCATCTGCGCACGGCGGTGGCGTCCTGTCATTTACACACGTTCTTCTCATTAAAAAGCGAATTATACTCCACTTACAGAGGCTCCTTCTCTATCTTAGCCCTGGCAGCCAGGAGGACAGGCGACTGGGCCGTGGGGGTGGGGGGGAGGGGAACAGTTGGAGTGTAACCCTGCGGGGGACAAGGGCACATCCCCTGACTCACCAGTCTCTCCCCTCTGCAGGCGAATATTTACGCCCACGGTAAGGATGTCACCGTGCAGACCTTGAACAGTCCCACCCATGGTGAGAGTATTGAATTTTCACACCCACGAGGAGGGTGTCAGATATTCACAGCCATGGTGATGGTATCCAAGAAGGCCATCGTCAGCTCTTAACTGTTAAATACTTTAAAAATTATTCCTGCCCACACTGTGTTAGGGAACAAACAGACCCTTTGCCGTCACTGCTTTGGATACGCGGCAGAAGAGAGAACAACCCTCCCTCCCAGCTTGGGTCTTGAGGCAGCTGCCAACTGGCGTCTTGCAGTCTTGGTAGAACGTGTCTGAGACACGAGCTGTGTTCCTTCAGGAGCAGAGCCGGAGCTCCAGAGAGGCTGCGATTCTTTGCCATGGACGTGCATGCAGGATTGGGGCGTGGCAGGGTGTGGGGAGCAGTGGAGGAGAGAACCAAGACCCACTGGATGCAGAAATTCCCATCCCCTGCCCAACCTGTGAACTGGTGGTCAGCCCAGCACCTCGTCTCCCCAGGGTGTGGACCTGGGCATGCGGAGAGATGTGCGTCCTCAGGGGACTCTGCCCACCCTCCCTGGCGCTCCAAGTTTACCCTGCGAGCCTGTGTGGCGAAATGAGCAGGGGTCTTTGGAGCCCCGCAGGGCTCAGCCTGGCGCCTGGGCTGTAGTTCTGATGCCGACAGGCAGGTGGCAGTGTTGGGCCAGAAAACAGTCTTGTCCTGCTCCGGCCCTCCCTCCGGTCCTGGGTGCAGGCCAGCCCCAACCTGGAATCCAGGATGGGTCAGGTTGTGCTGGCCACACCAGCCACAAGGGGTTGGCCATGCTTGCTGGTGCCACCGAGCATACCATGGCACTTCCCTCAGCTGTAGTCAGACCAGAGTGATACGGGGGTGGCAGGGACACAAGTGTCAGCCCACAGGCTCATCTCTGCCATCCCCCTGTCTGCATGGCCTCAGAATTGACACCACTTGGCACCTAGGGCCAGTGGCACAGACCCCACACAGTGATGTTTGTGGGGTGTAGGGAGAGCTCACGGCCTCCTGGTGCCTGTGAAGGGTCCACCCTCTCTTCCAACCTCACCCAGCCAGTCCTCAGCCCCCCACACCAAAGGGTTCATCCCACCCCCATCTTGTTTGGTTTTCTTACTTTTCCATCTTAAAATGGAGGCCCTTGCTGTTCCCTGATCCCCTTCTCTCTGGAAAACTCCTACACATACTTCAAAACCCAGCTGGGTCATTCCCTCCTCTAAGAACCCATTATCCCTCCCCATCTTCTCTCTCCTCTGGGTCTTTGCTAACACCCTGCAAGCTACTGGACAGAACCCCTCGAGAGCAAAGATCTTGCCTTTCTCTTCCTGACTCTGTTGTTGACTGAGCCCCTAGCGACTGTTGAGCTGAACTGATGCTATGAGGATCCGATTCCATAGAAAATGAGAACGTGATTTGCAAAGCGCAGGACACTTGCTGGCTAATTTCCCAGCGTCTTAGAACCCTGGGACGTTGGTTAGAGTGCAGATTCCTGGGCCCCACCCACAGGATAGGAATGATTCTCTAGGTCCAGAGTTGGGGCTGGGAATCTGTGTTTTCAATCCAGCGGCCCAGGTGTTTCTGATGCCGGTGATTTGCAGCCCTCACTATGATGGTGAGGGTGGTGCCCAAGGTCAGAGCTAGAACCTGGTCCCTTCACTTCTTTCTGGCCAGGAGTTCTCCAGTAAGGGCACAAGCGGCTCTGCAGAGGGAGTCCCGGCCCACCAACCCGAAGAGCTGCCGCCCACAGCGGGGGCAGGAACGGGCTGGTCCCTACAGCACTAGGGTTGGCTCAGGACAAGCCCACCTCGGGCCAGGTGACACAGACACTGTGACAGCTGACCTGGAGCAGTCGGGGTGGCTTCCTGGAGGTGGTGGTTCTTGGGGAGGGGATGGGCTGAGTGGAAAGAACCTGTGTGGGCAAAGGCTGGGAGGTGAAACCCAGCCGGGGGCATTCAGGAGCCCAGGGTGGCTTAGACAGAAGGCAGTGTGGAGGCCCTGGAATTTCTGAGACGGAACAGTCAATGCCCAGTAAGGTGATTTGCTGGTTTTCTGAAATTGGGTCTTGTTGGCTTGCAAGGGTGCTGGGTGTATTGAGGGAAAAGCAGGCCAGGAGGCATGGGGGTTGGCACGGCAGAGAAGGCCAGGACAGAGCCCCACTGCCTCGGGATGGGGCCAGGCCACGTATGGGGCAGGCGAGAGGGCGTGTGCAGCACACGAGTAAAGACAGGCTGTGGAGCCAGCTGCCACATAATGGCCATGTGACCCTGGCCAAGCCATTTGAACCCTCTGTGCCTCTGTTTCCCCATCTGTAAAATGGGATAATGATATTGCTGTGAGGAGTACCTCAGAGATGGGCTGTGTAGCTCTATAGAGACACAGTTTACTCACCTGTGCAGGAGTCAGTGGGACAAGGCAAGAAAGAAAGAATGGGTTTGCGAGGAAAGGAGAGAGAAGAGAAAAAAACTCCAGGTGGTCCGGCAACAGTGAATCTTAATTTGCATATTTACGGGGATAAACTGATTTGATCACTGGCAGCTGGTGGGAGGCCCCCCTGGTCATTCCACCTTTAGAAGGCCAAGGAGGGCCCTCAAAGGAGACGCATGTGTTTTCATGGCTTCTCCAGGAAGCCGGGAGGGTTTAGCTGTGGCAGCCACGTGACGGGCTGTCCTTCCAGCCCACCTCCTCCGGGGTTCAGCCAGGTCACGCTTCCTCATCAGAATGTCTCACCAGCTATCTCACAGGCTCACTGGGAAGACTCAATGCAGAAAATTCTGACAGCAGGGCCAAGCGGTCTGCAGACAGAGGCAGCGCCCCGTGTACGTGTCGGCCGCCAGGGCTGTGGTTTGTTCTCACCAAGGCTACTCTGCGGAGGAGAGACGAGACCTCGGACGGACGGGGCACCTGTGTGTGGGGCGGGGGCCGCCGAGCTTTGGAAGCCTGCGAGTGTGAACCCAGAGATGAACCCAGAGACTGGCCGGGGCGACAGCAGAAGAGGCTGAGCGAGGGGGCTCAGGATGGGTGTTTGGGGCCAGAGCCGGCCCTCGACATTGGGAAGTGTTTCTGCCCCTTCGAGAGAGATGGACGCCCTGACCCGCCCCCAGCAGGGTCCCGGCTCGATTCGATGGCAGCCCAAGCTTTACCAGCACGGATTCGCACCGTCCCAGCCGCCAGGCAGGTAAGGCCATGTGCCTGCCTGGCAGATGCTCAGAGAAGTTAAGCGACAGGCTTCTTCTCCAGCCACCGTGCCCTGCCTGCCCGTGTTGGGCTTCCCCTCCCAGGGGGCTTCAGTGAGTGACCTCTGCCCCCCCTTGCCCAGTGCATCTGGGTCTGGGGAGTGTGGAGGAAGGGCAGAGGACAGAAAGGCCTCCTGCAGGCAGCAGCCTAAGCCGGGCAGCGGGGTCACTGGCCTCCAGGCCCGCTATTTTGGGGGTGGAAATCCCACGGGCTGGGACGGGACCTAGACAAAGCTGGCACCTCTTTCTGCCGGGTCTCCAAGTCCTCTGGGTTCCCGTAGGACAGACGGCTGCTTCAGAGGGAAACCGGGGCGCACTTGGGGGCCTGACGGGCCGCAGCCCTTGCACCCCACGTCCTCTTCCTCCCAGCCTGGAGTTCCAAGGTCATCAGGGAAGGCGGAAGCCGTTTGCATGATCAAAGGAGACGGTCTTGTTAGACACGTGCGGCCCCGGGTCCTCAGGGAGATGCTGAGATGGAGTCAGGAGGGTATGAGGCCTGTCAGGGTGATGCTTGTGAAAGACAAAAGGGACAGGAAGCAGGACCTGGCAGGGATTGAGCCTCAGTCAACTGGTCCCGTCCCACCGCACTCCCATTGGCGGGGTGCCCGGGAGGAGCCTGACAGCTGCTGGAAAGCTCTAGTTAGAGGCCATCCGCTAACTGGACGCCTCAGAAGTTGTTTCTTGAAGGGCAATTCCAGAGACATCTCCAAGGTCACCGGATTCGCTGGCACCATAATTGCACGTGTCAGGAAGCCCAACCCACTTTTCTTTCCAAGTGGGGAAATCAGGGCTGTGATTGGAAAGCAAACTCGTGCAGCTGAATTTGCCTGGTGCCAGCGATGCGCCCCACGGTGTGTATCTGCACAGAGCCCCCTCTCTACACAGGCTGCGCTCTCGGAGTTCCCAAGGCTGTGTCTGCCCGCTTGTCCGTACTGAGTGGCCGAGGCCTCCAGGTCCTTCCTTTCAGTGACAGGACCCTGTCCTTTGGCCCCGCCCTCCTGGCTTTCACCCTGGCCCCGCCCTGTTAGACATCGTCCTCCATCGAGGCAGGAGCCCCTGCAAAGACACCGGCACTCTCCCACTCAAGGACACTGCCCCGAGTGTCCGCCTCACTCATAGTCTGGGGCCCCAGAGGCCCCTCCAACGATGTGGACCAGATGCGCAGAGGGTGTAACAAGGCCGAGGCCACCTGCTTTGCAGAGGCAGCCCGGGCCCTGCTCCGGGGACAGATCTGGCTTTGGGTGTCTGCAGGTGCCAAGGGCTGGCGTGCGGAGTGCAAAGCACAGGAGCATCAAACATGCAGATTCCCGGGACCCTCCCCGGAGTCAGACCCAAGTCCCTGGGCCTCTGCATTTATTACCTAGCTCCTGGGTGGGGCTGGCGCACTCAGGCTGTCTACAGGGATCAGGTAAGGGGCACAGGGCTCTCTCTGAGCCTTCCAAGTGTCTCCCTGTCCCCTGTGCGCAGTGGGGAGGGACCATGGGCCTATGAAGACCAGTCCCACCCACGGTGGGGTCTGAGAGTCTCAGAAACATGGAAGAGGGAGTCTCTTCGAGTCTGCACGTTTTATTAAGATGATCAATCG